AATTCAATAATCTATGAACTTATTATGCTAGGGAATAAAAACACTCAACTTTAGAGTCCTTTTGATTGCAAAAACTTTTGCTTCATTGGAGTCTTTAACACTAGTTAGACTTGAAAAATTGTATAAGAAACATCCCTCATAATCTCCAAGAACACTATCAATACCTAAAGCACTCGGTTTATCTATTGAGGAGCCATCTATATTTTATTTTAAAAACCAACACTTGACTTAATCCAATCTTCAACTACTCAATTTCGAATTATGTTATACTAATTATGAATTCGAGATATGAACTACAAATCATTCTATATACATAAAAAATTATCATCGACACCTTTTGCCTAATAAGAAACTCTATGAAATAGAAGGGAAATATTTCCAATATGGATTCACTTTGTTAAAAACTAGATTATTCCTTGCTAGCCACATAATCTAAAATAAAGAGAATAAGACTAAATACCATACTTTCTTCTATAATTTTCCAAAAGATAAGAAATCTCATTGATGGAAAAGATCATTTACACTACTAGGTATTGCCCAAAAATAGCCCCACCAATATATAATTTTAGATTACAAATGGCAAGTCCGACGAAATGAAGAAGTAAATAAAATATAGTTTCTAATTCCAATTCACGAAACGGGCATAAACGGTCATTCTAATCCATAAGGCCAATGCGATAGATGAAGTTTCTAGTGTGCAACTAGCTACAAGGAAGCTTCGAGCTTCATAGGAATTAATGATGTCCACATTTGGAAAGTCGTAATAATGTCACCGCCAAACTCGTATTGGATTAAAAATTTAACAACAAGATTTAACAATATAAACTATTCTTGAATTATGAATCCAAAGCCATCGATCCTCTACTTCTTGGTACAAAATCACAATTCTAATTTTATTCAATAATTTAGCTTCTAAATCCATCTCCCAAGATCTTAAAACTCTACACCAAATCAAATTTTAAGTCCATCCAGAGAATCACATCTTATACACATGTCAGCAACCACCTCACCTTTAGTTTCGCTAGTTTATATAAAATTGAAAAAGCATCACATAATGAAAAATTTTCAAACCAAATATATATCAAAATAAAACTAATTTTCCATTTCTAGCATTGATTCCGCATCAATTCTTAATGGTTATTGAGCATTGACTTGAACTCGTGAACATCAAGTAAATATCATCCCAATAAATAGATAAACGGACATCAATCCATTCACAAAGTCCGAATTATACTTTTTCGAATAAAAAAAGCAACGAAAAGTAATAACTTAATTTACTAGGGACATGTAATTTTCAAACACTTTCATGAAGCTTCTTCACACATAGAATTTCATGTAGTTCCATCATTACACTCCATTTTTTTCGATGTAAGGCACGAAAAAAATTAGTTGGGTTACAACACCAAGACAAAAATTAAAAAGAACAAGGACAAATGCTTCTTGTAAAGAATGCTAAGGTAAACATTATTCTAGACAATAGAATAATGGAGGCGACCTTTTGGACATGATGGGTCGGATAAAAAAATGAAAGAGTTAAACATAGATGAACCACCTTTCACATAGAACTTTGATTGGCTTTCTTTTGGAAATGTGGATGTGAAGACACCAATGACATGTTTTAGCCACACAGGTGATTACTCATTTAGAATCATTTTCCTCAATCGGGAAAGAGAATGTGATCCGGTTCAAACACGTACTTATGTCCATACAACTTTAATAGCTTTAAACTCAATTTCCTGGCTTTTTTTTTTTTTTTTTGGAATTAATGAGATTCTTATATTGTGCATCTTCTAATGTGGAAGTCTTTATCTACCTTTGGATGAATTTACTTCAAAGAGTTTTTCCACCTTTTGAAAATTTTAATATATATAGTTTTAACTTCACTTTCATGCATTTACGTGTTCAATAAGTCCATTATTCATGTCTCCTTTGATGTGGAAGCACTTATCGCACCCTTGATGAGTTTGCTTGAATGAGACAGATCAAGGGATGTGTAAAGTTACCTTGTCTCGTTGAATTGATAAGGAAATTGTGTGAGGAATTGATAGAAAAAGTATTATAATTTAAATAAGCATCCCCGAAACATGAAGCATGCATGCGGTTTTTAAAAGTTCTTGAAGAAAACTAGGCATAGAATCCACCATGTGGTTGTAACTCTTGCATCAACAATAAAATCATTGATAAAAATTCAAAGGGAATAACATTTAGAGTCAAATTAATGGTAAAAGAGGCATAAGGTAGTAACGATATCTCTAACTCTTCTCTAGAATTATCTCTAACTCTTCTCTAGAATTATCTCAAGACATCAAAAATTCTTAATCATTAAGTGATTGACTAAGTAAAATTCAAAGGAGGTGGTCAAAAGAGGTGATGAATAGAGGTGGTCAAAGGAGGTGTTCAAAGGAGGTGGTCAAAGTTTGTGGCTCCTAAGCAATTCTAGATCTTTCAAATAAGGAGGTTAAGTTTGCCTATAAATATAACTCTTATAATTGTAATGCATACATGAAAAATTAAAGAGAATTAGAGAGAAAAAAAGAAACGATAAAATAGCAAGTAGCTAGGAAGAGAGAAATAGATTCAATCCATTAAGAGGATATTTTGTATGAGGTTTTTCTTGTAATCAATAAATATCAATATATTGTTGTTTGAGTTTTATCCTATGAGCCCATTATGCCTCTAACACGAACTTCAAATTCTTTCTTCTGCTATTGACAAGCATCTCTCTCGTCATAAAAGCAACCAAAACAATTTCACGATCGGCATTACAAGATTTTCTTAATCGGATGATTAAGTTTATTCTTATGCAATAATTTGTTAAGTCTACTCAAAACATGACAGGTGTTTTCAAAGATAGTATCGATATTTGGCAAAAGCATAATTGTTTGTATAATGCATGTACATTCCTGGAAAAGATAGAGAATAGTATAGCATCGTTAATTTTCGTTGAAAATTGTTTTGAATTGACCAACAAACAGAAAAGCACAAGAAATAGAAACTAAACATTCTCTAATACTAAAAAATGGATTTAAACAGAATAATCTACCAGCAGAATTTGGTTTCTCAAATTCCGAATACTCGATTAAATATTTCGAGTTTAGACTAACAACGCTCACCATATATAGGAAGAATAGAGAGAGAGAGAGAGAGAGAGAGAGAGAGTAGTGTCAATAAAGTAGGCAAGAAAAATGGACTAAAACTACAACATTATTTCCAATCAATGCAATCGACAAAATAATGAAAATTAGCAAATTCAACTCAACCGAAGAAAGTATGAGTTCCAAAATCCCAACCGGTACAAATGTTTTTCTACTATTGTGAATGTGATGATAAATCATGAATTACACATAAGGCTAAATGGGTCTAATTAGTACTCTTAAATTTTAATTCATTTGAAATTAAGTTTTTAAACTTTAAAAATGATTTTAAGGACTTCTAAACTTTAAACTTTTTGAAATCTACTCCATATGTTAATTTTTCTTCAAAAATAATAAAAATTCCAAAAAAAATCCCAAAATTAAAATCCTCTATACTTAGAAATCTTCCCCCACCCCTCTTTCTCTTGTTCCATACCAATTTTGAACATGGAGGATTTTAATTCTGAGTTTTTTTTTTTTTGAGATTTTTATATTTTTCAGAAAGATTGACCAATGAACTTGATTTTAAAAAAATTAAAATTCAAGAATTTTGAAATTCAAAAATTCAACTTCAATCGAGTTAAAGTTCAATGGGTGTTTAGACCTATTTAGCTAATGCGTAATTGAACTAACACCACAAGCATTCTAAGAATGCCTACGAGCAATTGCTAAAGCATGCGTTTGGAATTCTAACGGCAAGAATTATGAAATAATTATTACAGCAACCCTCGCTCTGTTTCAGGCTTGCAGCCCAATTTATACATATATAGCCCAGCTCAGACTTCAAAATAAGCGGCAGGAATTTTGTTAGAAAGAAATTGTTCCTTTTTCCCTCGCATTTTCATGGCACACAGCTAGTTAATGTGAAGGAGTGATTAATCCACAATATATTCCAAGTTCACATTTCCTTTTTCCAATATAATTCAAGATCCGTATAGCTAATGACTTTGTAAGGTCTGTTCAAAAGCAAAATGAGCCTACTGACTCCAGACAAAAAATTTACAGCTTTTTTCCAAAACCAAAATGGTGGACGGTATAATATATCCTTCTTGCTAAGAATGATAAACCCTAAAATAAAACCTGATCGCTTATGTTTAAAATCAAATTAGCAAGAAAAAAAATCGAGAAATTGCCGAAAATATGAAAGATTATGTACAGTATGTGAATAGCAAGCTTACTGTACCTTTTTTTTTCTTGTACCAAAAATTATAATTCTACACACATGCATACTTCTTTAGACTAAAAAGCTTTTGGATTATTATTATTATTATTTTGGTAGAAGCTTTTGGGATTTCTTCGATTCGATCAGCTACAAGACTCCAACAGCTATAACATGCGGACGCTAAGTTGATAACAAAACGACGTGGTATTATAACAAGATGTAATATTTTTGTACCAAGGACATTTTCTTTTGGTAAATTCATTGTTTACTCTCTTAGGTTTTAAATTTTGATTAAATTAACTCCTGTACTTTAATTTTGAGCGTTAATGACCACAATGTGTTGGGTTTTTTTTTTTTTTTACCAACTTGTATATCAATTAAAACTAAATTTTTTTCCTGAATAATCTCAAAAGCACATATTTATATCCGCCTAGTATATTAAATAAATTCTCCTTTTCATAATATTTGAATTTAAGAAATTAAAAAAGAAAATGATTCTTTTTAACTGCTAGATAATCCCTTAGACTTGTCTCAATGTGTTATCATATGTGCACGTATGTTCCACGCGGTGCTACAGTACTTAAGCAAGTAGGTATGTCTAATTCTAATCTGACGAAAAAAGGAAATAGAGTACACAAAGTAGAGAGGGAAGAGAGTTGGTTTATCCAAAACGTTGTCCGAGTGAGCTTGTGCCTTAAACTCAAATGGCTGCTTTTGCACTGAATCAGCAACTACTTTGCTTCTCAAGTTCAAATTCTAGGACGACAATAAAACCATGTAGTACTACATGGTTCCTCAGCAAAACAAGCGTGTTCTGTATTCCTCCAAAGAAGGGTCATCTCTCTTTAACTAGTTCTACTTCTCAGTCCTCTTCTGAAGCCAATACACAGACTGCAGAGTCCTGTGTCAACTTGGGTCTCTCTCTCTTCTCCAAAGGACGGGTAATGGGTCTTCTGGGTTTCTTGAATTTTTCTGATTCTTGTTCAATCTCTGTAAATATTCCACTTCTGCTGCATGGTCTTTTTTTTTCCTTATTTTAGTTGGCCCATAATTATGAATTATTAGTGTACCTTTTCGTGGTATAGATTTTGGGTTTGTTACAGAATGAATTTTTTAGCATTCTTTCTTAACCGAAAGCTTTGCTTTATTAATTTGCGTTCTAATCGAAGAGAATGATACCATATCTCACAGCATTTAGTCACATTATCTCTTCGGTCTTCATATAATTCTCCACTCAATTTGTGAACAACATTTTTCCATTCCTATTAAATGCCATGGCATTTGTTTTTTGGGGCATACTAAATCTGTTAGAGGGCAGTTTATCTGTAATTTATCATAGTCATGCTGGCATGTATTAATATGTCTACCGAATTTAACAACCTCACCATAATGAATTAATGATAAATTTTTCAGGTTAAAGATGCTTTAGTTCAGTTTGAAACAGCTCTTGATTTAGATCCCACCCCAAGGGAGGCTCAAGCTGCACTCTATAATAAAGCCTGCTGCCATGCCTACCGGTTGGTTTGTTTTTTCTCTGTTCTTTTCATAAATGGAATCTGACCATGATATGTTTTATTTCGCTATGATCATTCACTTTCATTTAATTGCCTAGTTATTTTAATTATGATGTCTTTTAACCGTATAGAAATGCGTCATTTAATTAATGATATGCCTTAGCATTCTTATGAATGATTATTTTACAAGTTATAAACTCATATGTAATATGTACGCAATCTAAAATTTTGTCAGATTTGCTTCTTCCTCGAAGTTGTTCCAGCTTTGTCTATAAAATATTACTGCTTCTTAATAAAACTCAAACTTAGGAGGTCTTTCAGGTGAAGCCTTCAATCTGTCGATGCCACAAGTTTAACAATAAATTCTATTCTTTCACATCATACCTAATCACATCTCAACTTCAATGTATCTTTCCTTCGTAGTATGAGAAGTAGCTCTGTTTTTTGAGTCTTTATTGAAGCTTCTATCTTTCATTGTGAACCATGAGATTTTACACTTAAAGCTATCTCAGCATTATTATTATTTATTTATTTATTATTATTTTTTTTTTTTGAGGAAGCGGGGAAGGGAAGAAAGCTGCTGATTGCCTACGTACTGCTTTAAGGGAATATAACCTCAAATATGGCACCATTTTGAATGATCCTGACTTGGCCTCCTTTAGAGCTTTGCCTGAGTTCAAGGAATTGCAAGAAGAGGTCTCCACTCCTCAGCTTTCTTTTGCATATTAAGCTTGTCGAATCACTTTTTCTTGGTTGAGATTTGTACTTCAAGCCAGGTAGTTCTTAAGACGACCACCACATGTGGGCAGATTATGAAAATAAACATTTAGACTACATGTCAGTATGATTTGAACCAAAACTTTATCAAAGTCATCCCACCATTCTTTCTTTGTCATGAGCTTAGGCTCAAGGGCTCTGGAGTATGATACTATATGATTGAATTTTGGCTAACTTGGCTTTTTACAATTGAAAGGTTTAAACTTTAAATCCTTAAACATTATCTCTCATAAATACTTGGCATGCTTACAGGCTAGGTTAGGGGAGAAGACATAGGTTATGGTTTTCGTCGAGATCTCAAACTTATTAGTGAGGTCCAAGCTCCATTTCGTGGTGTTAGGAGATTCTTTTATGTAGCATTCTCAGCAGCTGCAGGGATTTCACTTTTGTTTACAATTCCAAGGCTTTTTCGTGCTATTAAAGGTGGTGGTGATGCCCCTGACCTCTGGGAAACTGCTGGAAATGCTGCGATCAACATTGGAGGTACCATAGTCTCTCATACATAAAACTGAGTTAGATTGATCTATACCGTAATTGGTGAGAGAACCTTTCGATCTATTTCTGTTCTTCTGTTCACTTGTATAAATGATTAGTGCACTGAATTTGATTATTGACTGACCCTTATAACTTGGTTCTAAAATGACTAAGGTTTTGAATCAGCAATCTACAGGCATTATTCTTCTTGTGGCATTATTTTTATGGGACAATAAGAAAGAGGAAGAGCAATTTGCACAGATTACAAGAGACGAAACTTTGTCAAGGTTGCCTTTGCGCCTTTCCACAAAACGGGTTGTTGAACTTGTCCAGCTTCGAGACACTGCTAGGCCAGTTAGTACCAAAACTTCTTCCTTTTTTAACCCATCAGATTACACACATTGTGGCCTTATAATTGCAAACTTAATCACAACAAAGTACTTTCCTGGTTTTGTTAGTTAATGTTTGTTCTAAATATATGATGTGAGCAATGAGAATTAAAATATTGCTTTGTCCTTCATTCTAAATTAGGAAAAACATCACATGACAGTGCACCATAAGATTGTATTGTTATACTTTCTTCTGAGTTGATGTAATGGAAACAGTTAATGGTTCCACTTTTACTGGCCAACTACATGTCTCCCTTCCATCACATTTTGAAGCATCTTCTGTTGAGAATCCTAAATATTGTCTGTTCAATGCCCTAATTTATGTGGCTTGGGTTTAAGGTAATTTTAGCAGGGAAAAAGGAGACTGTTTCCCTGGCCATGCAGAAGGCTGAGAGGTTCCGAACTGAGCTCCTCCGACGAGGTGTTCTGTTAGTTCCTGTTATTTGGGGTGAAAGCAAGGCCCCTGAAGTAGAGAAGAAAGGGTTTGGTGTTCCTCAAAAAGCAGCTGCATCTCTTCCTTCTATTGGGGTAAGATACAAAGGTTCCTTGAGTGTTTCTTCCTTGTTGTCCTAAGGATATGTGGAGAGTATTACAACCTTTTTTCCATTAGTATGTTGTCAATGTCAGGTTCATTTTCTAGTGGTTTCTTTCTCGCTGTTCCCAGTCTTATCTTGTTTGGGAGGATTGAATGGCTTAGTAGAAATTTTGTTCCATTTTTTTATATTAGCTTTGATAACACTATGGTAGGAAGATTTCGAGAAACGAACTAAGTCTGTGATTGCAAAATCAAAGTTGAAAGCTGAAATTCGATTTAGAGCCGAGGTTGTATCACCAGCTGAATGGGAAAGGTCAGATGCTGCTCAATTTGTATTCATTTTTTCTGTTCTTTCAAAAGATCCATCACAAAAGTTGGATTGTGGTGCATTTGTTAGACAAAATGGATATTTGACTTCTGGTACTTGATGTCATTTTTAGGTTTTTCATTTAAGCATTATGCCAATTTACTTTTCCCAGGATCATACAACTTTGTACCTTTCATGGATGAATGAATTATAAGCTTAAAATTGTCCATCTCACATCATAGTTTTCACTCCTGTTTAACTTGTGGATCTTAGTTTTCATCTGGTTAATGATTTTTCCAAATTTATTTAGGTGGATAAGGGATCAGCAAAGGTCTGAAGGAGTTACTCCGGGGGAGGATGTCTACATAATACTGCGCCTTGATGGTCGAGTTCGGAGATCAGGAAAAGTAAGTGCTTACGGTATCAATTGGCATGCTTAGTGGGTATTGTACTATTATCAGGGAAACTTGAGATGTGTTAAAGGTTCGATTGTACAGATAGCAATTTTTATTACTTGATTTGGTCACTCAATGCAGTAAAGATTGGAAGTCTAGAATTCATCAACATTATTCCGTTGTCTTTGATTAGTCATCCATTATCAGCATTTGATGTTTATAAAGCTATTAGCTGCTGTTATCAAATGTTATTTGCCGATTTTGTTACCATTGGGGTCTCTTACTTTTTGATTGTGAAATAATTTAAACTGCTGGTAACTAGAGACTTATTTGCGGTTCTTGAGTTATCATCTTACTGGTTTAGGTCAGTGCAGGATTTGTTGGACTGTTTGGGCATTTATAATTTCTCATATTCTGCTATCATCAGTAACTCCTGTTTCTCTGCAGGGCATGCCTGACTGGCAACAAATTGTGAATGAGTTGCCACCAATGGAAGCATTCTTGAGCAAGCTGGAAAAATAGAATTCGGTCCCTGCTTGAAAGAAATCTGAGGGGAACAAAATAAACAAGCACGATCTATCTGCCTTGTTTATGATTTGTTACTGTGAATTTTGTGCCATACTTAGGGATATCTCATTGTGTCATCTCTGTTATACAAGTGATTCTACTGGAACAAAGTTTGTTTCATTACTTCTTTGACATTGCTTTTCTAATTGTTGTACATTTTACCTTGCAATTATTGACAAGAAGGAAAGAAAAGGATTTTTGTAACCTAGAAAGTACAGTGGTGGTTAATGTATTCAGTTGTACAGCAGAGCATCTCGGTTTTATTTATTTATAATCAACTTCATTCAGATCATCATGTCCCAAATGCCACGCCATTCATTTATTAATCCTTTGTTTTTGGATTCCCGAGCCATTTTCTTAGGGAATTGAACTGCTCATTGGCTTCCAAAATTTGAATGCACGTTCTGCATCATAAATAACGTAGTTTCGTTTTTCTAAATATCGGTCTTTGCAAATCAGATTACTGGTTTCTTTTGGTGATGCAGAAAGATTCAAGTCAAAATTTCCACCAAGTACTTGATTATTGAAATAGAAAAGCTAAATCAACAGCTCTTAATGATTGCACATTGCCCATGGTTAGTTTACTTCTCTTACATTCATGCAGTATTCACATGTAGCTTTTACTTGCAATTGCCACCAGATTCTCAAGCAGGGTTAACGATTTTCCATTTTAAAAAGCTAGACCGTTATAGTCTCTGAGAACTTCCTAAGTTAAGACACCTTTTAATCGCTAGTTGAACTGGGCATCAGCTGCAGGCCTCAACTCTTAGCAGCATGTTCCCTTCGTAATCTTTGAACTGTCTGCGTGTGGTCAGGTTGCCTCAGGTCAAGAAAGTTCTCAGCGTACAACAAAATGGGTACTGACAAATTTGGAACTTTACCAACCAATCATCGCGACCTATTCTTCGTGTATTTTCTTTGCATTTGTTTTTTTTTTTTTTTTTTTTTGTCATTTTCTCTTGGTAGGTATTGAACAGGTCATGAATGGTCAGATTTTCCTCGTGCCGACTAGAACTAGTTTGAACTTGTTCCATGAAAGGAACGGGCTTAATCAAAGATTGGACTTCCCATATTATTAAAAGGATTTTCATTCTTGGTTAGGTTTTACTTTATATTTAGTAAAATTGTCGTGCTGATTATTTTATAGTTCTTAGATTTGGACATCAAAACTGTTGAAGGTTGTTGGACAAACCCTAGGATACGCACTAACGTCAGATGCTTCCTCAGTTAGCCAATCAATGCATCTTAGGTCTGCTCCTGCAATGAGGCATTAATATCCATCTAATTACAGAACTACCATATGCGTCATATTTCTAGTTCGTTTAGAACTTTCTAAGGGAAAAAAACACTTCTTTTTTTTTTTTTGAGAATGTAAAATAATATTTCATTAATTTCCATGAAAGCACAAATACAACACTATTTGCATATAACAATTATAAAAAGCATAACAATGGTATTAATTGAATTGATATATTTGAAATGGATCTTTACAATAGCAACAAGTGAAACTAATCTTTCCAATAGTAAATGGTATTTCTATCAATATGGATGATTTAAACAAAAAAAATAAAAGTATTTGAACTTTCTAAAATTGTACTATTTTTGCAAAAAACTCAAAGCATCATACGCTTAGTTACGAGTTGATGCTATCATGAAATAATAGGAGAACGAATTATACTACCAAACACAATATAACTATCATCTTTCATTCAAAATTTAGTGATAATTTTTTTATTGTAAATTTAGTAGTAGATTAATAGAGTACTATTTATTAATTAAAGGACTCGCCTAGTTGATGGTTTAGGATTAAAATTTTAGGTGTTTTCGAATGGTTTTGATATAAAAGTGTTATGGGAAAGCATTTAAAAGAAAAAATTGGTGTTTTTTTAGTTCAAATTTATTTTTATAAAATTACAATTATCATGTTCATAAAAACACACACTAAATAGTTTTTTATTATTTGACGATAAAAGTATCTTGAGACTAGTTTGTACGTTAATCAAAATTAAATCTTTTCTTAAACGATTTTAAAGTTTCAACTCTCACATCGGATTGGTACATTCAAAGGTTAGACTCAAATTTTAAGCAATCTAGTTAAACTTGTTATTTGCACATTATGTTTTCACAAAAAAAAATTATTTCAATCAATTGAGTAACTATTTTTTTACATGATTTATTTAATTATTATTTTTTAATTAATATCATCACGAATCCCAGTGTAGTTCTTTTTTTTAATTTCAATAAATTGTATTTGATTGATTAAAATAGAAAATATGAATATTCAATTAATTGAATTAATAATTAGGAGAATTTTTTTAATAAATTGATAAAAAACAGATGATACAAATAATTGATTTAACCAAGCAAACCTCCTTAAATCATTGACACAGCCAACCCTTAGGGTGAAAACACAAACTAAACAGTGAAGAAAACAATTCCATATGTGAGAGCTCGTCTTGACTAGGCCAAACTGTCATCTTTGTAAATACTGACAAGACTAATGTCATTTGTCTTTCGCAATTAACTACTCGTAATCAAGTTGCTGGCCAGCTTTCTTATTAATCATCACGCTTTTGTTTTTAATAGAAAATACTTACCGCACAGGAGAAAAGAAATACAGAAGAGAAGCAAAAGAAAACAAGAAGAAACACAATGGCCGATTCCTACAGCTTTCTCTTCCTTTTACTCGTCTCAGCTCTGATCATCTCTTCATCCACCATCGCTGCGAGTGAAGACCACAACCTCAACTGGGTCCCAACGAGAGCCAGAGCATGCCAAGGAACGGTGGCAGAATGCATGGGAGACGATGAGTTTGAGATGGACTCGGAGATCAGCAGGCGAATATTGGCGACTTCCAACTACATAAGCTATGGAGCTTTGGAGAGGAACAATATACCATGTTCCCAGAGAGGTGCATCTTACTACAATTGCAAGACAGGTGCAGAGGCCAACCCTTATAGCCGTGGTTGCAGTGCTATTACTCGTTGTCGTAGTTGAGTAATTTTTTGTTTTTCCTTTTAAACTGCTACTGCAGCGTTTTGTTTATGGTCTTTAGCTTGTTTAGTTATTAAGATTAAGAAAAAAAACTAAAATAATTGAGATGTTTCATCATTTACTACTTGGTTTTTTATTATTTTTTAACTTTGATGAGCAATAATATAACTTTTTATATTTTAAATTCTCATATTTTCAGATATTTTGTTTCGATTCACATTTTTATTTATTTATAAGTTATGGTTCCTAAGTGTAGAGAGGAAGGAGTAGATAAAGTGCGCTACCCAATCTTATTTAGACGACTTTAGCCAATAAAATTAAATTATATTTTTTTATTTTTGAGAGATGAGTTTAATCATAGTGATTTCAAACCATTAAATAATTAAAGAATATAAATCGAAGCAAAAAAAAATTTAATTTGATTATGTTTTTTTTAATGCACATTAAAATGATTTTTAAAATCTTAAAAGTGTTTATTAACTTTAAAAGAGTTTGGGGAAAAAAATAATATCATAATTAAGTTTATTAAGGTCTAAAAATTGAATTAGGATTTCTCAGAAAAACTTATGACAAGTTTGAGTTCACCAAAAGTTATATATATATATATATTTTTTTACTGGTCAGTAGCCCTAGCCTAGCTCATAGGCCTGCACACGCATGCACCAACTGTGCTAGGCTGACCTAGCTGCACATACCTGTCCTTTTTTCTTTTTCTTTTTTTTTAATAATTTTTTTATATTTTTTTTTATCATGAAATTAGGTGTGAAAATATAAACAAAATGTCTTCTTTTTTAATTTTATGTATAATTTGACGTAATAGTATATATATTATTTTTTAAAAGATTTTAGTTTAAATATATATATTGATTATATTATTCTTATTGTTTAAAATTTATTTCTTCAATTGTTTGTTTCTTATTAAAATTCTCATTAAATTAATTTTTTAATTTTTTGATATACTTTTATTTGTTAATAAATTTAGTTTTTTTTTATAAATAGATTTTGAAATAAAATTTTAGAGTGTTATTGTTTTATTTTTTAAAATATATTATAATAATTTATATGATTGATTATTTTTATGATTTTCAAATGAGAGTAGTGTAGTTGCATATATAAATTCTAATGAGAGAGAGAGAGAGAGAGTCAAAAGTGTGTTTTAGATAATTTGACTTAATGTTTTTTTTAAAATTAATAATCAGTTAAAAAAATAATTTGACTTAATTTTTTTTAAAAAAATTAATAATTAGTTAGAAAAAGAATTCACGAGTTTTATTTCTTTTTTCATATATATAATCAGAATTTATTGAAACCAATTTTGCAGTAGTTTTTATTTAAATCTATTTTCTTCGATATAGTCCATGCGATTTAGGTGGGTTTTATTTTTATTTTTATTTATTCTATATCCTCTCGAATCTCCTAAGCATAATCATAATATATACAATTAGCTTCGTTAAAAATTAATTATATATTTGCACACATAATACCAATTATTTGTTATTTATTTTTTTCATGTTATAAAATTTGTATTTTTGAATAAAATAATTTAATTAATGTTTTGATAGAACTCCAAATTATTCAAATACAAATATTTATGCTAATATTATAAATTATTTTGTTAATAAATATATATAAATCAAACAATTCCACTTAATATAAAGATTCGATTTACATTACTCATAAAAAATAAAACTTCTACTCACATCACACTATACAAATCGTTAATTATATGTATATAACGATTGTCCGATGATAGCAAAACGCGAGTATCTAACTAGTTGTTTCTATTTTTTGTAAGGTATGGTCAATCTTGTTTTTCTATTTGAAATGCAGAATGTCTTCTATAAATGCAGCAATTTTTATTTTTTTCCTTTGATATATTATGGCCATGTCCTCGTTGCTTTCCGTTTTTCTTCTCTACTACTTCCATTTCCTAGCTATTTTCTTGTTTACTATGTATGTTGTAAGAATTTTTTTGGCGTTTGGTTTTGTTAAACCATGGGAGAGTGAAAGGACATGCGCTAGCTGTTCTTCTCTGGAAATATACATGATGGCCTTGGTTCTTCCATTTCAATATTCATCTTCGAAAAAGTCAATCGTTTTGGTCAAGACAGAGAAAAATTACAACCAGTTTTTATGGCTTCAAAGTGTTGAAACTAAAAGGGTATTTGAAAGACAGCAGTTAACGAATCACGCCATGGATTCTAGATACGAATTTCTTAAATGACATAATATCAGCCATTTGTCTAGAGAACTACGCCATCGATTCTATGATTCAAAATTTCTTAATTGACAAAGTATCAGCAATTTGTCTAGAGAAAGTTCTGGGAACAACCAAAATATTTATAGTGTAAACCCGCTTATTTCTCAAGTCCTTGACTGCAAGTTTCCTACCAGGGGCAAAGTATCTAATGGAAAAACACTATGCTGCAAAACAGAGTCATGGAATTTCCCTTGTCATCTAAAGTTTTTCATGTAAATATCCAGACTTAATTATTTCAGGTCAAATGCAATGGCACAAATCAGATCGTACATAACAAATGTTGTTCAAACAAAACCTCCGAAAGGTGGAAACTTGAAGAGCCTTCTTAACTTAAATAAAGCTCGTGCAGATTTTCAGGCAGATTCGTGCAAATCGAACGCCAGTCAGTTACGACTTGGTTCACCGCGACAAATTCCTCGAATACATTGGCAGAGAATAAAGCAACGGGGGAAGATTACCAAAAGGTCATGTGCAGACAAAAATACACTTAAACAAAATTAAATTGCTAGTTAATCTCAAGTGCTGTCATTTTATAGGATAGTGGACAACGACCTTAAGGCACGCTCCAATGCACTCATGAAGAAACCATACCAGAGAGCAATCATTATTGTTTTTTTATTTTTTAAAATGAAAAGCAATCTTCAAATTAGAAGGCACAAACATAATTAATTAAGTTTCAATGACAATACATACATCATCCCAAACTTGTAAGCAAGTTTTTCTTCTACATAAGTAACTATTACTCCCCATTCCCCAAACTGACCGCAAGAGGACCAACAGGGTTAATTACACGACAAAAAACACAATTTTTGATTTCTCACAACATAAATGTTGAGAAGTCAGCAGGAAATTAAACTTGCCCTCCGCGGAACATGTACTTGAATAATTCTAGGAAGAACCTTCCTCTGGCTTGCCCTTGGATGGAGCTAATGAAGAGGGAGAACCCTCAACTCCCATTTCTGCTCTAAGCTCGTCAATGCTCTTCTCCAAATTATCTATGCGGTTTCCCATTTCATCAAGTGCATTGAAGTCAAGGAAACAAGAAATTCCACAAATTTTAAATCACAAAAATCTAAAAGCAGCGGCAACATAGTATGCAAACATAACAAGGCACAAAACCTTGCTATAGTGGAAGATCCTAAAGTTGGCATTAAAAGATCCAAATGAGATGATTCTCTGATAAAGAAGAACCCCAATATATCTAAAAACCAAGATCCTATTACATAACCCAGACATATCATTGTTATAATAGGACTTGGTTCCTATTGAATTCCCACAATGGCATTGACCTAGAAATAGTGAAAAGCACAGGCAAGAATATCAGACACCTCTGCATAAAAGATGATACATTACAGGCACCTCTTGCAGCTGAACACTAAGTCAGGATGCAAAGCAAGGGATTTTATACAGCTGCAAACAATTCCTTGATTTGAGGCGCCATCAAATCTCTTGATTGGTGGTCTGTCATCCTGACTTAGAGTTCTATCAGTTCCTACCCTAGTTAAGATTATCCCCCCCCCCCCTCAAACTAGAGAAGTAAAAAAAAAACGGTAAGGATATTCTTTGAGACAATGGAGTCAGACATTGTTTGAAACCTACTTTGCTGCAAACAAAATCTCAGTCAATAACCATGGTATAAACTAACAGGAGAAGAGAGATCCAAATGACAACTCACCATCTGCAGAAGAAGATTTTGGACCTGAAAAGGCAAAACAATTAAGTCAGGATTATGGCTTCAATAAGATAAGTACATAAGAAAACAATCACATTAAATTATCCTTAATTGGCTCCACCAATTTCTACCAACCACGTTTCAGCTCAGCTCACATTCGACAGATTCTAAGTATTTAAGGAATAACAAAGCACGAACAATTTTAAAAAATTAGAAACCATATCAATCAAACAAATTTGCCCACGGATTTTCATGTTCCAACTTCGTTAAACACAGTAAGTTTTTTTCCTTCAACCAAGGATTAATTAAGCATTTAAAGCGACCATTAAAAAATAATGAGAATGTTAAGGAACTCACAAAAGCAGACATGTCTGCAGTGCTTTGCTTCGGATCATCGGAATCATGTCCGTCCTGTCAAAATAACCACCATCACCAAAAACAATATTATCTAAGCTAAAACTAAAAGAGAAATCCCTGAAAATACCATAGAGGAAAATAAAAAATAAAAATAATCCACAATTTAGATAGTTTGGTAGAAAAGTTCTAAGCAAACACCAAAAGCGAAAGCTACATTTTGAAAATTAAAATTTCTGAAACCCTAAAATGATGCAAAGCAAAAAAGGTAGCAGGTAAGAGTGGAAATAGAAGAAAAGATAAGTAACCATTGCTTGCTACGCTAGCTGGTCTCTGGGTTTTCGCTGTCTGTGTCCGGCACGGTACTAGAGCGGCTTACGGAGCGTTGAAGAGAAACAAGGAGAGGGAAACGAAAGGAAGTATCACGTTTATCAATTTTTTTTCTTGTGAAAATGATGCGTAATTTACCCATATGCCATTAGCAAAATATGGATTTCAAATTTCAAATTTCAAACTACAAGACCCATCTCCCGGTCCACTTACAAAATCTTCTTTTCACCTCTTCAATTAAAGTTTGGAAGTTCAAAACCAACTGTAGAACATTTTTCAGACTATATCACATATTTTCATATATATATATATTAAAAAAAAGACTATTGGATAAGTGATTCTGCGATTAGTATTCTATTAGAAATTATTATTAAAAAAAAATTAATTTCTTTTTTTTTTTTTTTGAGGAAATAATTTTTGTAATTACTTAAGGCATTATTATTATAAGACTTAGCAATCCCAAGGAATTGGTATAGTGTTTGCTCCATTTATTAATTTTTTGGATTCAAACTTTGAGGTTAGCATCTAAAAAATTCTTACTATATATTTTTAAATATATTATAAATTGATGTGCAAAATACATGTTTGAGATCGTCTTGAAATGATGCTTAGCTTCTTGTATTGTAAAAAATTTATATTCACTCTTTAGTTTAACTACTATTGCCCAAATATATTTTGTTCCCATGGTCAACCAGACCAAGAGTGCACTGACGACGGTACCAGCGCAGCAAGACTCTTCTTGAGTCGATTATAAAGGGTTTTGGATATTAGTTTATAAACTTTTGGGTAATGAAGGCCTCTGCACCCTGATTTATCATAATTATAGTCATTTTTGCACTTGAACATATTATCACCCCTTTTGTGTATAAACTATTGTTGGGAGAAAAAAAGAGAGAGAGAGCGTAAAATCCCCTAGTTAACAAAGATTGACAGGGCGATTTGCCCCAGAACAGCAAAGTTACTTCGAGATTGAAACCTGAGCGAAGGTTTATTGCTATAATAACATCCACCTAAGAACCTCAAGCAAGTACCAAAACATAACTGTACAGAAAGCATGTGCAGAAAGGAAAAGACAGATCTTCCCATATAAAAAGATGGTCTAGCGCAGCTAAACCATAAAAGCAGATAAAGGATTCGATTCCTTAGCAGAAAAAGAAAAAAGAAAAAAAGTGTTTCATGTCACAATAAACATCATGTAGTGTTAGAAGAAAGAAAAAGAAGAGCTGCTCTGTTGTTCTCTCTGTTTAGCATTCATGAATTACTGTTTTGTTCTCTATATTTGATCTTGAGTTCCAAAATTACATCAGAGAAAAGAGAGAGAATTCTTCTGGGAAAAAAAAAAAAAATTCCCTTGGAGACTCATTTTTCCTTCTTTCTAGTCGACAATTTATCTTCCACATAAGGATATTGAGATTCAGCAGACCATAGACCCCAGAGTATAAGTAAATGGAGACACAGAAGAAGAGCAGATGAATAGATGTTGGAAGGATAGACATTCCAGCAAAACTCCACACCTACAAACAAAATCAAACTGCGTGCCAGAACACCAAAACTGATTATATAATGAACATGGTAAAATGAGTTACTTTGCAAATATTGTTGTGGCACGCAAGCAAAGAGGAAAAGTTACCGGACTAATGTTGGGAAATGTGTTCTCCACAATAGATAAGGCAAGCTATAGAAGTACCTGAAGTAAGAGGTGTACCATAAGATTACTGTTTCATTCACTGAAAAGCAGAACATGAAATTTAAATGCCAAGTTTCCATAATTTTCCAGCATAATCGTAAGTCGTGACTTTGGGCCCGCCACATACCATCTTTACAGGAATATCTTGATACAGCAGAAAATAAATAAGGAATGATAGAAATATAAATTCGTTAAAGAGAAATGACTCATGTGAGGCTTGTATTTGTCAGGAGATGATAACCATCCTAATGAAAAGACAAATGAAGAATAAAGAGGAGTAATAAAGATGCTAAGAAAACTATGATGCTAGTTACGAAGCAGATCATCATAATGGATAAATATTGTACTCCTCAGTTATATCTTTCTACTGTGAGTGAGTCAATGCATATGTATGTCAACAGGCAGGCAAAGCTCAAATTTGATGCTTTATAAAAGCAAAGGAAATTATATGGATGATTTACCCGGAGCTAATAGTGAAAGTACATAGCTAGAAATACAGACAAATTCTACCTTGTGAACTATATATTCAGTTCGGAAAAAAAAAGTATTGGAACATTATTACTACTAACCCTGACATAAAGCATGTCCATAAAAGATTACATTTCACAGTCAAATTTACTGGATTAAGTGTAGTTGTATAATCAGTTTTATAAATTCTATTTGCATAGACAACAAAAGTAGAATAGAGAATTGCTTTGCAGTTAGCTATTAAAAGCATTGATCTTCCAGCCTGATGAGCAAACATATCCATTCAAGGACATGTCGAAAAGGTAATTAGGAGGCGCTTTGGTCATACACTGCAAGGTATGCCTCTTCCCTCCTTGATCTACTCTGACAAGCTGGTTGGTAGAGATGTGGAAAATATTCAGACTGGGTGAGAAAAAGGGTTCGTTCAGATGAACTAGCTTCAAATTTCATTAAGTTTTTCTTTCACATCTAGTTAAACATTGGTACAAAAAATCCTGGTTGGTGAAAAGTTGATGTGTTATGAGCAATTGTCGCGGTAATGGATTCACAGAAGGGTGGACAGATGTACCAAAAATGGAGGCAAATACACAATCACAAACAAACAGACGAACACAGAAAAGGGAAGGACTGAAAGATGTAACCAACGAAAAACAAGAGTCACATCAAAAGAACATACCAAGAATAAAATTGATAATGCAGCGAGCGAGCGCATACAATGCCAATGAAGTTCCCAGCAAACAGAGTTGTCATTATATCTGAATCCATCACATCAAAATTTAGTGTGTAAGAAAATGAAAAGGGAAAAAGAGAGGCAGTGGAAGAAGACAGCTACTTAATTGATAGGGAAACGAAAGACAAGGATCCCTGCTATCCTCAGACTAAGATAGTCACAACTTACGTTCTTCCTTGAGAATCTTAAAGTCCGAACTGCTAGACCTTGAAACTGCAGATATAACTTTAGATCGCAAAAAATTACAAAGTCCTCCTTCGTGCCTGAAATTGAAAAAAAATATATATATATATATTGAGTGAACAACTCCAGAAAAATCCACAGCGCACCCCCTACCCACCCTCCCTTTTTTTTTTTTTTTTTTTGAGAAATTGTCATTCTAAAACTAGCGTTTTTGGAGCAAATTTGCCACAGTAGTGCTAAAAAATGCATTTTTAATCTTCTGAACTAATTGTCTCTGCAGGCATGAAGCAACATCAGCTAGAGCCATCGCATTCCAACTTATATGTAAACAGACATTGTCATCTATCCAGAATGAACAAAAATAGGAATGATAAGAGAGTGAGAAAGCAGTCAAATTAGACATGAGTTTAGTTGGTGAATTTACCACATCAAATAAGATACGATCCTGTGCATGGAAAAGCATATCTATGATCCAGGTAAGAATACAAAGAATCATCATACTTTATCACTTAAGTAGCTTCTCCTAAAATATCTTTAGTCTCTACCATAAAATCTCATAACCCCAATAGTTGTCACAGATACGGATTTAGTACTTGCAACGAAGAGAATTAAATCTGTGTAATTACCTGCACCATTTATAGTGAGCAAAAGCTGCAAGTAACCCAAGGTGAGCAATCAGCAAAGAGATTGCAAATTGCTTTGATACAAAAACTGGTTCAGGAATGAATTTGAAGTTTACAGACCTAATAGAAAACAAAGACATGATTCAACAAAATGCAGTTGCAATGATCACAAAAGAAAATAGTACAAAGCGTAACTAATGAAGAATGCCAAATCATACAGGGTGCATTTGTTTCACAAAAAATATTTTACAGAATCCACATTTTCCTTGGGCGGTACAAGAAACTTTGTCAAAATAAATAGTTTTCTAATCAACCAGAAAACTTGGTTCCTCATAGAGGAAAATATTTTCATATCATGATATGGGGAGAATATTTTGTTGAGAGTTAAAAACCCCTGGTCTCCCATTAACACCATCACCCAACACTTCAACCACCACCATCACCAACCCGCCGCCACCATTCTCATTGCAATCTATCAATCACCACCACATCACCTAACTGACCACCATAATCGATTCTCAATCAATAACCTTTTCTTTTCTTTTTTTCCTCATTGCATACCAAAACATTTGAAATATTTTACACAACAAATGGACCCAAAATATTTTGCACTAGGTATTGAACCCTAGTAGGGTTAGGGTGGGATTTAGGAAGTGGAGAAGGCTACGCCCATTGCATAGCCCAAAGCCCATCGGGCCTCCTAGTAAACAAAAAAACTAACACTAAACATGAATCAGCTGCAGAGCATAATGAAAACTCAAAGAATAAAAGGGAAAAAAATAGAAAAATAATATCTATACAAAATTCTCATCACTTTAAGAGGACTCAAGAGGAATCCCAGCTGGCAAGCTATGGAAAAACATTTAATGCACCACCTTCAGCAAATAGAGTGATCAATGTCAGGTATTGTGGTTATGCAGTTCCAAAAATGATTTTAAGCTGGATAAACTGTCATAGAGGAATTCTATAATTCTATTCTTCAAACCTTCTAAGTACCAGCATTAACTGTTTTAAATGCAGGGGTTCTTCAAGTGTGGGGATGAAGTAGTGTTTTATAATAGCAATAGCAACATCGTTATGGAGAAGCAATGTAGTGAAGCTGCCAATCTTGAGAGTAGAGAGTGTTGTGGCAGGTGAGGAATTAGGATATTAGTGTGGTGTGAAGTGACAACTCCAACATCGAGGTGAAGATTGTGTGGTACTAGCTAAAATGGGGTGTCCAAGGTATACTTCGGGGGAACAACCTAAGAGAACAATCAAGCACAAAGGAGGAAAAGGTAATGTAGTGAGAGAAAGGATGAGGATAGAGAGAGAAAGTAGCACACAATCGAAAAGAAGCTATTATGTGAGTGAATGATAAAAAAAAAAAGTCCCACGTTGGGTAGTAGCACACAATCACCACCTCATCATTGGAGGGTCTACTCACTTCACATTCTATTAGTACCCTAAGTCCTCACCTGCTACAACACTTTGCACTCTCAAGACAGCCAGCTCACCCCAAGCATGTGTCTATCGCATCCCTTCTTTATTAGAACCTTGCTACTACACGACACTTCCTCATCAATCCACCCCTGAAGAAACCCCATATCCGTATCTGTCATGTATAATGAGAATTACCCGAAACATGTGCATTTTGCACATGAATAAGTACATGCAAAATAGTTCTTAAATCTTTTGAACAAGGATGAAATAAGCAGTACCAAAAGTGGATGAAAACACGACCAAGATTGAAGGCTCTTGATATATATGCGACCGGATATGAGACTAAAAAGGGCAGCCCCACCAAAATCTGCAGAACCATTGACCAAGGATGTGAAATGAATGAACAAATTGCTAAGACAAAGGCCTCTTCGCCACATTAATTGCAGTAGCAGTCCAACTCACCTAACCACATTGGAAAAGAAATTTAGAATCATACGTCCATGCTTCCAACACTAGAAACACTCTGCAAGTATATTTCATGAAAACAATCATAACTAGACACAAGGATTTAAGTGCATAATGCTGGGGAACATTTTGATGTTTACATAATATGTCCCTGAGAACAAAAGAGGGAAAGGTTCAGCACCTGAACTAGGGTTGCACAAGCCAAAGCCGATATCACCCCATAGATATTCATAGCCTGCAGAAAGTGTTTCCAGTACAAGAAATGACTTGAGCAACTCAGATGTAACATTATGAGAAACTTAAATGGGTAGATAATAAAATACTTTCAACATGAGGAGTAACAAAGGAGGAGCATAGAGGAGCACATTCATCTTTATTGAAACAGCCCCACTGCACAAAAAAAAAAAAAAAAAGAAATAGTTAGTTATCTACATTTAATATCAAATTCTGCACTTAGAAAGTGAATCCAACCTGAAAAGAATCAGTGCAAGATGCCACTTTTGGTAGAGAAGTGTGGCCAATGCAGCATGGAGGAGTGTCATTGCAAAGCAGTCATTGAAGAGACGAAGAACAAAGATGGAGTGCACTCTTTTTGAGAGAGAAAGCAAGATAAGAGCCCACCAAGGAAGCTACAAGTTGAAAAAAAAAAAAAAAAAAAAAGTGAGCTCCTATCAAGGTGCAGAGTAAACAAAACTTGTAAATAATCTAGAAAGAAATCATAAACATAAAAGGGAATTTTCTTACTAAGATCGGATAAATACACAATTGAGAGAAATGTTTGAGGTGTTAGATATATCTTTTATGACGCATTTACTAAAGCTTCAATCCCATAAATCCAATAACTATTGGAAAAAGGCCCTGCAAAAACTAAATTTTTTCACCTAAGCAATTTGTTTCAACAAGATAATTTCATCATATAAAAGCCCTTCCCCTCAAACTGAAGAGATGGTATGCAAGGTTTTTCATATCAGTCACTGCAATTCAAAGATTTAGGATATCACCACGACCACCAGTAAGCTATCAGAGACAACATTGTAATAGTAACCAATGCTGAATTACTCTAATGACTGGAGAGTGCAACAGAATTGATTTTATACTTGCACTAAAATATGGTATGATAAGCCTATATCCAAGATATGTGTCCGGCAGCAACAGTTGAAATGCTTCCATCACAGCTTTGCTCCTACCTCATCATCTTGTGACTGCAGTGAAAGACCTATCAGCACCTGGTGGAGCCTCAGCAATCCCTTATTACTTAATTCCCAACTCACTAGGATTTTTCTGCTCCACCAAATTGTTCGATAAACACCAAGTGGGGAGATTTTGGCAGCTCAGAACGCCACAAATATGGATGCTCTAACAAGAGTAGGATAAAATAACGATACGCTATCATTTAAATTTTCAGATTTCACGTGTCAATTAACACATGCTACATTTTATTCACCATTGCTCCTGACTGACTACGCATATGTGATGTTGTTGTCTAGTAAAGTAAATACACACTAGTATAAGAAAACTGGAAAAAATTTCATACCACATCAGTTTTCACATAGATGAAGAAGATGATAGATAGGTTTATAATGTATAAGATGCCAAGCAAGATCTGCAACCACAAAATGAACAGAAACCATGAGGTAATGGTTTCATGTAAGCACAGAAACAAACTGCATAGGAGGGACCATCAGTAACACACAACTAAAAGAAAAGAAGAAGCTGGTAGAAGGGACAAAGGAAGGTCACCCACAGCTGAGGTGTGAACTCGCCCAATAATTGGTAAAGATAAATCAAACAAAGCTGTATTACAAATTACCAGTTCCAGACTTCAATTTTACACAGTTGAAATCAATAATTATAATGGACGAAACCCATTTAAACATAGCCCTCGGTGAATCGATAAGGGAAACACGATTTCAGCCCACCAATTGGTTCGAAGCAGGGCCTTTCGCATCATATAACAATGAAAGGCAGTTATACACAGAAATACTTATTCCACGCCCTACGATGGTTCAAAATGCGAATTAGACACATTACCTGAGCAAGATAAACCTCCCCTCCCGTAATATACTGAATGGCAGAGTAAACATATAGAAAACCAGCAGGATAAACCAGTGGCCCCGTATCGCCTTTCAAGTTAGTGTAGTCCCTTTCTCCTCCAAGAAACCCAGTCACCTGTTTTTTATTTTGCAATATCCCCTTCTTTAGTTGTTAAACTAACAATTAAAGATGCCCAAAGTCAAAATTTTCTTGACTGAATCTCAGTCATTTTTCAGTGCAATTACAAAACTCACAGATAGACAAAAGAAAAAATTAGCACCTGTGACATGTAAGCGTCCCAATCAATCTTGGTATCTGAGAATCAATCAAACCAAACATTTTTATGCCAAAAAAAAAAAAACTAAGTAAATAGAAAGAAACAAAGGAAGTGGAAAAAATGTTCTCACAGGGAACATAGGCGATAATAAGAGCGACGAGGAGGGCATCCATGAAAATTAAAGCCAATGCGAAAGCTGCTTTTGGGTTTTTTAAAATTTGTGATCTTCGGGAGCGTGAGGGTTGCAGCTTTCTACCTGATTTAAGAGCCATGGATGGCTTTCCTTTATTATCTCTCTGCTCTGCTTCGTTACAATTACAGCTGAAAGAAGAAGAAAAAAAGAAAAGCGAGAAGAGTTGCTGGTCTGGAGATAAATAAAAAGGAGAACAAACGAGCTGCCTGGAATTTGGTTCGAGTTCAATTTGTTCGGGCGCCCTGAGAAAATAACTTAAAAGAGTCTTTTTTCTTTTTCTTTTTTCCCTGCCTGTTTTTGTTCTTTTAGCAATTTAGAAAACGGAACTTTATGAATTATCAGATTCTTGTTAGATACTTTTTCCAACCAATTGGAGATTGATAAATTTTATAAATTACATTATCGTTTTTTATCTCATGATCTTCTGCATGAGTGAAGACTAAACATGCCTAACTCCTATCAAAAACAAATTATTAAATAAATTCATCATCTTCTAAAAAAAATATTTTTCTAAATGTACTATTACTATAGCAATAAAAGTGAGTAAATTATGAATTAGTTCCTCTAGTTTTAAGAAATTAATTAATTAATTTTTTGGTTTTAAAAACTATTATATAGTTTTTTTTACTGATATCCATCATACTTAATTTAATATTATTTTTATTCTATAAAATATTTTTTTATCTCATTAATCTTTTCATATTTTTTATTTTTATTAAAAAATAAATTAAATTAATAATAGCAAAAAGACTTTCAAATTTAAAAAACATGAAAAGTAAATAATTAATTTTTAAAAAACAAGAATGACTAATTAATTAGTTTTCTAAAATAAGAATGACTAATTTATAATTTACTCCGATGAAAGGTGTGCGTTAATATCAAAAGTAGAAAATTAATTTCAATTCACATTCAAACCAAAATGAAAATAATTTATAAAAAAAAATGATGTTTGATCTCAAAAAACATAAAATTTTAACTCATTATGTTGTGCACCAAGTACATGTAATGGCTGGACAATAATATTGTCATTTTATTTGGCTTAACCTATGACATCGTCTATTTCTCTGTCATCTCAACTTTTTAATGTGATGCATATTCTTTAATTTGTTAAAAATCAAAGGGAACAAACAAATTGAGATTGAAAGAGTATTGGCAACAATTAATTAAAAGAATTAATGGCTACTTATTTATCTATATTTTTTAACTTTGCTTTGATTCATAAATATAATAAACTAGCCAAACCGAGAAATTCAAAATAAAACTAAGGGTTTTCTTATAATTGATAAATCATAAATGCGACCGTTCAGCTATTTCTATCTCATTACAAGGACATCTAGAGAAGAGGGCAGAAAAAAGACAGCCTCATTCGTTCATACTGGAGCAAATCCTCCACTTCCATACCAAGGCGTCGAAGAATTTTCTACTTAGTTGTTTTTTTAATTTCAAGCACGATATTATTAGCAGCCATGACCAGTGTGTTAACATGCAGAAGAAATAAAATAGAGTGTTGGAGATCTTGATGTGCATGCCTTCTTCCTGTGCTGTAGGAAAAATATGAGTTTCATGTTTCCTTTTCTAGCATCTTAGCCAATCACCTGTTCCGAACATCTGTACTTGTAGAAAATTCATGGAGCAACCACCAAATTCCATACAAATAAATCAAATCATAAGCAAGCTCCATTAAACTGCAGTTTCTAAATCAAGATGACATTAACACCAACAGGCAAACGAGGGCCTGATGCCATGCACAACGCATTGAAGGGTGGACTTTCTCTATTGCATTAAGACTAACAAATACATACCAATGTCACTGGGGATTCACTGCCAAAATAAAATTTTATCAGCAATAGCTGTAATCACCTGGACATGGGGATTCAATCCATGTCCATCAGCACATAGGTCAGACCAAACATTAGTCAATATACAAAGAAATTGCAGCTCCAATTTGTGATAATACTCCTCCTCAGTTATTCAATAACACAATCATATGAACTAGCAAAAAGGAGAACCCTGAAAAAATAACTAGCATGCGATGAAATAAAAATCCGGTTCAATTATTATCAGCAAAAAGGAAGCGGGGAAACCCAAGTGTTTGTTCTTTTCTTTTCTTTTCTTTTCAAAAAAAAAAAAAAAAAAAAAGGAAAACCAAGAAACATAAACAGGAAGAGGCATTTATTTATTCTTTTTGCACCTCACTTGATCATTGAAGACAAATTAATAAACTTGACCAAGTTTCTAAAGTCAGTAGTGGTGATAAATAAATTCCTTTCAAGAAGCAGAATGTTAGCATCCTGTGTGGTGTTTGGATGCACAGCTTATCCTTTAGCATGTGCACATTACAGCCATCTGTCTGGACCATAATAAATACATAGAAAACCAAAAAAAAAAAAAAAAAAGGAAGACCCCAAAAACGAGTGAAACATAGAGAATTTAAGTCATCTTCTGGAAGTGTGCAAAATTATCTTAGCCCTAGAGTTAATATGAGATCAAATCAAACTCACTTCAAAAGCTAAATGGAATTTTAAGTGTTCAAAAATGGAGAAAGCAAAACGAAACAATTTCATTTCCCTTTAGCATGACCTCCTAAAGCCATTGGGATTAAAAGAAGAAGAGAAGTAGAAAAGAGATAAGGAAAGGAAATGAGCCTAATTATGTGAGATGAACGCATTAATAATTACCAAAATATAATTAGCTTCCTTTTTGTTTTAAAAAAGTGAAGTCAAAAGCATGCAACATTCACAAATCTAACCAACCAATTTGGCTGCTTTACTACATCTGCAGTGATTAAAAAAGCAAAAAAGCTTGCTTTTTGATAACCAACACAGAAAAATCTGACAAAAGATATGACACCAGCTTAAAGTATATTACTATCACAGCCAGTACCAAAACTACTTAGAATAGTAACCTGGGTGGTATTTAGGTGGCAAACCATATCCACCATATGCAGCTGCTCTGTCATAGAAGCTAGATGGCATATGTGATTCTGGAAAGTATTGATGGGCAGAGCTTGGGTTCCCAGGGAATCCCATATCAGCTCTCGCCAAACCATAAGGGTGAGCTGGTGGACCTGCATAAGGAATGGTGGGAAGAATAGAACCCACTAACCCATACGGCCCAGCTGCTGGCAACAAACCTGCTGGCTGTAAGTGAGATTGCTGGAAAGGAGGAATAAGTGGATGGGAAGCAACGATACTATTCTCAACTGCTGCTGCTGCTGAAGTTCGAGGACGCTTGTTTCCAGCCTGCTGCTGCTTCTTTGGCTGATGCTTTTGCTGCTGTGGTGACTTGTTGTCAGCAGATGCAGCAGGACTTTTATTCTCTGCCTTCTGTTTTTCTAGCATCTCAATACGCTTCTCGAGGTCCATTCGTGGGTACTCAGATCCGAGCTTATACTCATCAATGAGTTCAAGTGCTGATTTCAATGCATTAACTTCTCTGGATCTGGCCTCATTCTGCATGAAAACTTGGTTAAGTGCAGGGACAACTGATGTCTTCAAGTTCTAAAAGCTAGCCCAAAAATGAAGAGATGCAAAACTACCTTTGTGTGGATAGGGCTCTTTCCATCCCTGCAAACTTTCTTAGTAAACTTGTTGGACTCCTGCAGGTGAGCCTTCAAGAGAGGAACTGGTTGGAACTTGTCCACCAGTCCAAATTCAAAGATAAATTTGACAGCCAAAAATCTTTTGCCACTGTCTATAAGTTTTTGAATGAGATCTGCAGTGCACAAGGCAAGTATAAAAGCTTATATCAGACTCTATCCCATGGGAACAGCACATAAAATGTGCTCTTGATTGCTTGATTTCAGAAAAAAAATATGATCCAACAATATTTGGCTGATCAATAAATATTTATGTTGAATCACGCCTCATACTGATGAGCAACCATGGTTGTTGAATTTAGCTAACTCTTGGTTTAAGCAATGATCAAAGAGTTGGTTGGCCAGACACCAAAAGTAATTTAATTAGCAAAAAGTGAGCTTACCCATTACAAGTTTGCTACAAATCTGTGACCATATATGTTCAGGAGTGAAAAAACCAGCTGAGGATCTCTTTTATACTCTGTCAATTCAATTATGTCAAAGAATTCTTCGTCGAAGCTACTACTGCAACATCGTTCCTCAAAGGAAGTCACTCTATCAATGTTTCAAATTTCCTGCTTGCCACCAAGTTCCTAATTGAACTATTCTATTCATGATTCTATTTCACATACTTTCTAATTTAGCCCACTAAAATGTCAGAGAGTGAGAGTGACTCATCCAGTGCTACAATAATAACCTGGTGGCTAATTAGATTGCACCATATAAGCATCATAGAAGAAATTCCTTGGGGATTTCAGCCTGAAAGAATTTTCTAGTGTTTCTAATAAGACCATGGAATTAAGATAGAAAATGCTACTCCTCTGCACACTTATTCTCACAGGGAAAAAAAACATATAATTACTTCTTTACCTTCAGTGCTGACAGAAAATACTCCATTACATAAACATAAATAGCCTCTACTTGTTTACGTTCACTACTAAACTGACCCTTCCTTGATTCACTCCCATTTTGTCCCTGGAGTCAAAATTCAAAGGTTTTTTTTTTTTTCCCTGATTTCTGTGTTCTTTTGAAACAAAGGATTAAAGTATAAGAAGATTAAGAATTTCAAGCAGCTAGTCACTTGGTCCACATTACTCCAAAAATGGAAGTTCACATGTAGAAGGCCTATGGCTCCAGTTACTTAGAAGCATCACCGTGATCATATAATGGTCAATGAAAACATTAATAGTGTAAACACCAAAACTAAGACCTCCTTGTAGTCTATACTTATAATCGATCCCATAGCACGATTTTTTCAACCTCACTATAATCTTTACTTAACTCTGCAAACTATCTCAAGCTATGCCCCATCATAATGTTTTGTCAACGCATCAGTCGATACAACCATAAAAGAATTCAACCAAAAATGATGAACCAAGCCATCACCTATGTCTATAAATGCATAGATATAAACAATGAATACAATCATCACCATCAAACATAAACAAAATAAACTCAAACAAGCATATAAACAACTCAATTCATAATCTAAACCAACACAATCTTACCAGAGGTTTTCTCTCCCAAATCAATAGCTCGACAAAGAACTATAGCCTGCTTGAACCTAGCAACAACGACAAAGTAATCCACAAGCTCATCCACATCAAACTCGTTCTTCAAATTGTAAGCCACCAACAAATGCAAGAATCCCAGTGCCTCTAAAGGGCTCTCCCCATTCAAAGTCACTTTTGCTTTCCACTCCAAAGCTAACTTTTTAGCTCTTGCCTTCACTTCCATGCTCAAAGTTGGCTTATTTTTTGCTAAGGCCTCTAATATGTCCAAACAGGTCCTCCTTAAACGACACAATTCAATATCCTTGTCGCCTTTTGAGTTGGCTTTTGATGAATAAAACCCTTCCATTGCATCCAAAACTAAAGCCCCCGGGTCCGGGGCAACCGACATTGCACCCGATAGCTTGTCCCGGATCTCACCCCGTCTGTTAGCGTTCTGCTTCATGTAGTTCTTCAATCCTTTCACATCCATCTTCTCACATAGAGACATCAAATCAGACCGCGCAGGGTCGACCGTGTTAGAAGTCTGAGTAGTTGATCGCTTCAACTTGGAGCGAGTCGCCTCGGAGTCGAGACACGGAGGTTTAGAAGACGATGGTGAATCTTGCCCAGTAGCACCCGACAACGCACGGCGAGTCGCAACTGAGTGGAGAGGTTCAGTACTCGATTGGAGGAGGTGAAAGCGGCGAGTGAGGTTGTCTTGGACGGAGGAGAAGTGAGAATCGAGGTCGACCCATGAGAGAGAGAAGGAGGAAGAGGAGAGGAGATGAGAAGGGTGGGATTGGAGATCATCATAGGCTTTTTTAAGGTTGTCCCTTTTGGTGTCGATAAGTTTTAAGGCTGCTTCAATTGTTTTAAGAATCGTAATTTGCGGGTCTTTCGTAGCTGCCATTGTTGCTAAAGATATTTCAAAACTCAGGCTTCTAGGGGTAGTGAGTTCTGTTACCCAATTTCGGTGCTGGCGGTGGCGGGCAAACGAGACGATGCCTGGACTCGGGGACAGAGGAAACGACGTTAAGGATGGATTTGTGGAATAGATTTTTAGGAATCGGGAGCATACGGTTTATGTGACAAGTCGTTTACGTTGTTGATCGTAATTGGATGAATGACTTATCAAAGTGTGACTTGTCGCTTCCACTGGGCTTCTGAGTGGCATGTCGTCTAAATTCGAAACTAGAAAGGGAATGCGGAGACTGTTTACATTCGTAAATCTTTTTCTTCTCCCTTGCTCTTCTTTTCAAATGCTCCTTTTCACTTTCATTTATTCACTATTTCCTTTTTTTCTTTACCACACTCTGAGTAAAAACAGAGTACTAAAATCAATTGTCAATTAATGAATTAAGTTAATAGATGTTGCCGCAGGAACGTTAAAAAGTTTCAATTCACACAATCATTTTTAATAAAAAGACAAATTTGATTTTTAAATAATTAATGAAAAATCAAACGAAACTACCCACTTAGCCCATGGGGCACGTGTAATCACTCCAAGGTTACCAAGAAGACCAGTACTCCCCGCCCACAACATGAATCATCGTCAGCCTGAGCTATCTAATATGAGCATAGAAGACCAAATCTCTAGGTGCCTCCTGTCACCCACGTGTTACCCTTCTTGTCCACTACCTTCCACCTCCTTCGCCCACGTATCACTTGGATTTCTCTTTACCTCTCCAAACTACAAACTTTGACACCACCAAACCAAAAGAAAAAAACAAGAACACATGCATACCTCTCCTTTAAAACAGCCTCACCTTAAATTCCTTCCATCCCTCTCCGTCTCTCTGTCTAAATTTTTGTTAATCCAATCAAAATATGGACTCGCAAAACGTCAAACAGCGTACCAGAAACGCAGTCGACGATCCTAACATCTCCAACACCACCCAGAGCAAAAACAACAACAAGACCGTAAAACTAAAACGTGACAACAGAGCAGCAATGGCCAAACGTGGAATTAGATCACTAGCTGTAGCTGTTGCGCTCCCTCTCTCCTTGACTCTTTTTAACGCGTACTTCTTCGGCTCGACTGAAGGCTACGGTACGAGTACTAGGAGTACATCAAAGCCCTTCTGGTTCCCACCTCTGTGGGCCTTGCACATGACCTGCATGGCTTCGAGTTTCTTGATGGGTCTCTCGGCGTGGCTTGTTTGGGCTGAAGGTGGATTCCACAGGAACCCAACGGCTCTGTATCATTACTTGGCTCAGCTTGTCTTGAGTTCGGCTTGGGAACCGATTGTGTTTCAGATGGCAGCGCCGTGGGTTGGGTTGCTTGTTTGTTTAGCTGCGTTTGGGAGTCTTGTTGGATGTTCTCGACAGTTCAAAGTGGTGAATCCCATTGCAGGCGATCTGGTTAAGCCCTGTTTGGCATGGACTTCGTTTTTAGCCATTGTAAATCTTAAACTCCTTTTTCTTTGAAAAGTTAGCACGACACCAGCACTGTTCATATGGCGTGTTTGTAGTTTAATTAATTAGTACTCTAAAATTTCTGTTAAAAGTCGTCCTCTTCGTTTTAATTTGATTTACATTTTTTTTTTTTTTAAATGTTGGGTGTTAACATGATCCATGAATGCAGGATCTGTGTGTATGTATTAATTTTTTTCTTTTCTTTTCTTTTTGTATGGAGAGTATCACGCATTTAATTATTTTAATTTGTGACGAAAATGAGAAAACGCTTATATCTAATTTCTTTTTTGTTTGTCCTTTGCGATGGGGTGGAGGAAAATTGGCATGACAGAACCATTACCTTTATGTGATATATAAGATTCTTCCATACATCTTTTTATAAATATTTTACTCTAGTGATCAAAGAGAATTAAGTTTCCCCTCCGTAGATTATAGAATTATATGCTCTCTCATATTTTCTTTACGAAACTAATTAAGTTAATTAACTCTACAATAACCATCAACAAAAACAACAACAATAATAATTTTAAAAACCTAAAATTAATTTTTCAAAAAGTCTTAGAAACTTAACCATATATAGGTACATTTGCTAACCATTTATAGGTGTGTACGCAAAACTTGACTTTGTATAAACTATAATAAGGAAAACATCAGGTCCATAAAGCCTCTACTCTGTTGGTTTTATATCCTTTTTATTTTTTTGTTTTTCAGTTTTTTAGGATATTTCGAGTTTTTATATCGTTAAGTTTTTCAATCTTTCAGCAAAAAAAATATTTTTTTTCCCTAAATTTTCTAGTTTTTGTTTTTTTATGTTAAGAAATTTTTTTTTTTTTGGCGATTCGACTATTTTTTATCTATGAAATCCCAAAAATACATAGGAGAAAAAATTATAAATGTTTACGTTCATAGAATTTTTAGAAAAATATATGAAAGTTTTACCGTATTTTGCAAAACTTGTTTGTTGTCATAACATATTTTATTTACCAGTTTATGTACGATCTTTTTGTTTCTTTAAATTTTATAAGTTGATTTTCAGTGAAGTTTTTTCTATAAATCAATTTTTTATTTTTCTTTTCCATGATTTTTTAATTTTTAATTATTTTTTGGGTTTAAATTTTTCAAAAAACATTCATTTATCTTTTTAAGTTTCTTATTATGACTTTTTTATAAATAAAAAATTGCGAGGGCCCGAGATAAGCAAAGCATGAAAGATCTTCAAAAATTCATTGTATTCCCTGCAATTTAGTATACATTTCAAAGCAGTCCTTAAAATTTTTGTAACTCGGCCCCTCAATTTTTTTTTTATTTGAAAGCATATTGCACTTCCTCTTCGTATGATATATATATATACACGTCACCATATTGAGAGAAAATATAAACATATAAAGATGTATATCTTTATATGCTAAAGTGACACTTTTTTAAAAAAGAACTTATGAGATAATGTATCTTGTATATAAAGGTATAGAAATAAATTATGCTTTTAATTACAGTTAAGAATAATGTGTTTTTATTTGAAAAAACGTGTAAGAAACTATATTAATATTACTGCCGTAAGTAAAGGTGAATAAATCTATAGCTGTAAAATAAAACACAAAAACATATAAAATAATTTATTAAATTCTCTTTGATGTACCAAGACGATATGATAAAATATGTTTTTAACATTATAAAAATATTTAGTTTTCATTGACATACAAATTTGTCTAAGATATCAAATAAATAAATAAAACATTCAGCACTGAAAAGAAAAGAAAAAAAAACAACTTTGATAAAACATTAAAAAAAAAATCATAAAGTCAATTCTCAACTGGTTATCATTTGCAAATTGCATTGAATATAATTGTATAATGTTGTGTCTCTGTAAACTACACATCACTTTGGACATCACAAACCAAAAGTAAAGGGCGAAGAAGATAGTCTGCGGATTGTTTGTAGAGATCAAAGGTCAAATTTGTTAGAACAAAGAGTTCTAATCCCCCAGAAAGTTTCATCAGATTCTGCTAGACATTGCCTTCTCTGCAAATCTTACAAATGAATGCCACCAAAAGGTACTAAGGTTTCCATCTTTACGAGGTTGCAATAGTAACTGTAGCTGTGTTCTCAATAATTAATCCCCCTCCCCGGTTCTTTCACCTCTTTTTTAGTTTCTTGTATGTAGGCCTCAAGATGTTATCACTGTCGATGTTCGCACGGCCAGAGGTCTCATCACCTCTGGTCACCGTTATTTGGATGTAAGGTGGGTGGTCTTGCCTTTTAAATACTCCTATAAATCAAATTATGGTCATTTGGCTCTCGAGGGGAAGAAAAAAAAAACAATTTTTTACTCAGAATTTTGAAAAACAAACCTTTCTGATACAGAATTCGATTATATATATAAACAGGCGTTTCAGCTCAAAGAACCAACTAATTAAATTGATTGCGAGAAAAATGATTCTTGTATAATGAATGATCACCAGTCAAATGAGGATGATGTGGTTAAATTGAACTAGAGATGAATCTTGTTTTAATACGTGAAAACTGATCTAAATATATCTTTACATAAAATCATCGATTAGTTTGTGTTTTGCGTCTTATTATTTTTCATGATAAATATTAGTTAGTTTGTTTTTTTTTTAGTACGATAAATACCAGGTTTAAACTTTAAGCTCTGCTTATATTACTTGGCTATATACGGTGATATAAATAAAACAGGCGTTTCAGCTCAAAGAACCAACTAATTAAATTGATTGCAAGAAAAGTGAACCTTGGATAATGAATTATCACCAGTCAAATGAGGATGATACGGTTAAATTGAGTTGGGCGAGAAATCTTGTGGTTGAATTTTTTGACGGACAAACCTTTCATAACTGTAGAACCAATGAGGAGTTCAACAAGAGCCACGTAGACAATGCCTTGAACGTTCCTTTTATGTTCAAGACTGATGAAGGTAAAATGAAACCATTTTTTTCCTCTCTTATTTTTGCTTACAGTGAAACTTCCTGGTAAAAGGTTTGTTTTAAGAAAAATATCACCGACTTTTAATTACCATCCTTTAAATGTTTCAGCATAATAAATATATTTTTGTGGAAGAAGCCCAACAAGAATAGCGTAATAATTGATTTAAGCTAACGAGTTTCTCTTTGTGTGTCTTGCAACAAGCAGGTAAAGTGAAAAATCCTGAATTTCTCAACCAGGTTGCCTCGCTCTTCAACAAGGATGACTATCTAGTGGTGGTAAACCCTACAACATGGTGCTGCAAAGCAAATTACTTTTTTTTCTTTTTCTTTTTTTTTCCAAAGAAATATTTGCTATTTGTATGGCATAAGACGGTTCCAACTAATAAATAAAATCTTCACGTATATATTAAGCAAATTTTAGTCAGCTATCAAATACAGATCAAAGTTGCTTTTGCGAAATCTCCTTTCATTTTATGATGAGAGGTAATGGATTACATCTAACCATATAGAAATTGTTTAAAATTGTGAAGGGTTGCAACAGCGGAGGCAGATCGCTCCGTGCCTGTATCGATCTTATGAGTGCGGTAAGCTTACTTAAAATTTCCAAAAAGTATTTCTATGTACGTTTCGAGCATAAAACATAAAATTGAGAATTCAGCTGTGAGAAATTTATCTTAACCTTGCGCAGGTGTGCTATAGTTTTAGCTAATTAAAAGCAGCTTAAGACATGAACTAAATATCAATTCTACATGTTCATGAAACATTGAAAACGGTAATAAAAGTGAAGATTTGATGATGGCAGGGCTTCGAGCATGTAACAAACATGGAAGGGGGTACTCTGCCTGGGTTGACAGTGGACTCTCAGGAGATGAACCCACGGAAGAGCTCAAAACGTTTTGCAAGTTCCGCCCATGAAAGAATATTTCCTTCACCAATTACTCGACCTTCCAGCAATAATAGCCGTTGTGGCTTATCTTGTTCCAGACTAAATGTCAAAATGAAATGCTGCTTCTTCTTCTTCTTCTTCTTCTTCTTCTTCTTTTCGTGAAATGCAATTTTTATTATCAGTCAATGAACAATATGCCGGATTTATGCTGATCATGAAATTCCCTCATCCAGTCACCACAACGTATCTTATTGTACCGAGAATGTAGAAGTGCCATTCTTTAGTGGTAAAAACATGGCCCACCCTCAAACGTTTACTTATGTTCCAGACTAAGTAATAAGTTGGCATGCTAAGTAATACGTTTGCATTCTCATCCTTCAGATTTTCTTACATTGCCCCCCAGTTGTTAATGTTCTAGCTCCACCTCTGACTGTAATGATGCATTCTTTGTAGATATCTTACGAGGTTTAATTTTAGTTTTCATTGATTTCGTTTAAAAGTAATGATGTACGCTAATCAGATATAAGCAATGAACCCAAATGCTTGCAAAAATGTTCGAAATCAGATATGTATCAGTACTCTCTAAGACATCCTGACTAACTCATTTGCACCGAATTGGCACATGCTGGCAGGAGGAATAAATTGAAAGTGAAAATGAAAGAAATTAGTTCACACTCTGGCTGAAAATGGGATATTACCTTGCTACTCGACATGGCAAAGCTTTCTCAGGGTTATAGAGGTTCTCCTCTTCTGGTTTACTTCCTGTCCCTCCCACATCTGAAATCCAGGCTTTCGATTAATCTCATGCTTCCAAAGGTACCGAGCATCCCCAAACAAAAGAACTAGCGATCCTGGCGTCAAGAAAACAGGAATCTTTATCGGCAGATCTGGTTGTTCCTTACCACAGTCAGAGACCTCTCCAAGTTGTGTGAAGTGCATCACACACGAGGACTCCAAGGAGACAATGGCAATTCCGTCTTCAAAGCGCATGAGGTCAACATGTGCACAGATCCCCTTCAAATGCAAGCATCTTATCATTGAAGGGACATCTAAGTAAAGTAATTACACACATTCTGTCTTTACAGATCATTGTATTTACAAATGATAAATTCGAAAAATAAGCTCAATTAGCAACCAAAAAGTGCAAGCAGAATCATCTTAGTTGCTCACATTAATGCAAAGCGCTAGAAAATAAAAGATTCTGTATAAAACTGCAACATTATGAATTGATGTTATCAGGCAATCCTATCCCCAGTAACTCTCAAACTATATTTCCAAGGCAACGGAAGACACATCAAATGATGCATAACAGAGACTTCTAGCAAAGCATGCATAACAGCAAAATAAAGCATGCTTGAAAGTTTGCAAATACAAACAGGACAAGGCATGATTTAATCTCTAACCACAATTTTAGCCATCTGTCCTACCTATGTATGCTTGTCAGAAAAAAAGAAAAGAGAGAGAGAGAGAGAGAGAGAGAAAGACTAAAACGAAGTAAATTGATTGGTTTGACATTATCTGAGATGCTTCCATAAGCAAATAAACACCCAGTCATGATTGCATATGTTTAATATTTATATAAATGCCAAAGGCAAAATGCATATCAATGTCTTCAATTCACAGTCTCTGTTTTCGTTTTGGATCTCTGTATGAAAACTGATACCTGCGTCCATGTATGCAGATTATAGCAATTTAGTAAACATTTGCAAATACTCAAAGCAACAGAATATGATGGAAAGTTTCATTGCCGTGAAAATGATATTACTCAACCATGAACATCAAAGGTGGTTTGCTTAATAGTATAAAACTAGATATTGGAGATATAAAAATTTTCATCTGGACTTTCAAGAATATGGACAAAATAGAAAGCAAAATCGCACCTCACCTGGTTGGTATACATTTACAATTAGTTGATCAAAAACGGGTTCTCTCAGCAGCATATCTGGTGGCAGCAAACAGGCAGCTTCAACCCCCTCAGAGACAGCACTACTTGTAGGTTCATAGAGACGATCATCATATAGTATCACCTCATGGATAGAATTAGAGAGCTCAATGGCCCATGATGGAAGATCTCCAAATCTCATAGCCTACAAGAAACAGTAAAATATCTATAAAAAAAATATATCAGCCATGATTGTGTTGAACTATGCAAAACCAACTCTGATTCGGAAAATTTCGAGTTCATTTCCAGGCCGCGTACCCACCTGATTATTGGAGGCTTCAAGGAACCATCCCTCTGCATTTCCACAGATTAAAAAAAAAAAGTAATTTCTCTTTGATAATAATTAAACCAATAACAGAAGAATGAATGCATTGTATTGAAACGCACAACGCACGCACCGTTTTGAATAGCGGAAAGGAGGATAGATTGCTGGTGAGTAGAGAGGAAGTCTCTGCACAACCATAAACCTTTGATTTCCTTAATTGGTTCCCAAGTAGGGTAGTTTGGGTCCGAGGTTGAGTGGCATCCAACATCGTGTGTCGAATCTTCTTTCTCTTCGCTGTCTGATGAGTCGCCAAAGATTTGTCTTAGAAGCGCCTTTTCGTCATCCATCCTTGATTCGCGAATTCGATCAAGATTACTGGACTCTGGAGTCCTTATTTGTTTCTGGGATTCGCAATTCGCCCCTAATCCGTGTTAACCCCCTAAAACCATAAAGAACCTATCCTGCGAGCTAATTTTCTTTTTCGTTTCCATTCTAATGCTTCCATAAACATCTAATGACAGTTTTGGCCTTTCAACTATTAAGGTTCCGCCATATTGAGACTTGTACTACCAATTCAGTCAATTATATCCTTGAACTTTCATCTTTCAGATGAATGTTTGCCCTTCTGTTGCCCGCCATTTGATTTCACCGTCACTCAATACATCAAACTTTGACCTTTGACCAAACCCTTAAAAAAACGATTTATTTTATTTATGCATGTTAACTTTTTTTCAAAACATACTATATATAGCAAACTACTGTATTTTATCCAACAATTAAAATGTTTTGGATTTTTTTTATTCAACGCTGTATTTTATCCATAATTTATTTTAATTTATATTGTTGTTATTTCAATGAACAAATTTTCATTACTTTTATCAAGGTTAATCAAATTATCCTATCACTAGAAACATCGCAAATAGATTAACATTAACAATCACTTGTATGTCATTTACCAAAATATAACTAAAATGGCTACCAGCTACTATTAACAATGATTTTGTGAAAATTAATTACGTTCAAAGTAATTATGGTGAATTTATACCAACCTTGATAGAAAATATATGAAAACACTCAATATTCATCATTCTTTTGATCTATCGCAAGACTTCGATTATACCCATCTTACTTGATTATAAAACGTTAAGAGATGGAGTTATCATAATGGAATAATCACAATTTGAAATCACAATTAATGTGACCCGACTATCAAATTATAGAGATGTACACCTCAATAGATCTTTGCCTCCAACCGAGGACACGAGTAAATGATTGGATAAAGAATACAAAAAATGTCATTAATACATAGTTTTTTTAAATTAGATAATGACGTGTCAAAACTTTTTTTCCTCTTAAAAATCCACCTCTCTACATTCATTCTCGAACTTATTCATTAGATAAAACGAGATGACAATAATGTTATATCTTTCCCCGTACGTAGTCAATTCCTTACGCGAGATATCTTTGTAAGATCAATTTGTTTAAGATTTTCTAGTTATATTCGATTAGTTATGTGACAACTCTATCTTCACGGGCCTCCTCCACGGGCCCCCATGCTTAAATATGTATGATTGATCAAATTGTTACAATTAATATAATCTTTATACTTGTTTAATATATCTACAATATAAAAAACATTTAAACACAAACTAGTAACATTTATACTTTGTTATTATCAAAATCATAACCATTGTGACTATGAACCTTTAGGATTAACATTCATAACGAAAATTATAATATGGGATATGATAGTGGAAAAACAACGAGTTGGAATCTAACAAATATGAAGAGGAGATAAATAAGTGTAAAATTATTAGAATTGAAGAGTCTTTATTTAAATAGATACACAAACAATCCATATTTTAATATTGGTTTGATACTCGATTATAAAATGTGTTTAGAGATGCATTAAAGTGATTTTTTTTCTAATACACATATACACACACATATATGTGTGTGTGTGTGTGTGAGAGAGAGAGAGTTTTAGGTATTTAAAAGGTGATCGTGAAATGATTGCTACCGAATGAATTGGACTATGACTAGAGAATTCATGCAAATTTGTTTGTGGGGGGTAAGTTTGGGAAATACAACTAAAAACTAATTGGTTATAAAAATATTATGAATTATTGGTTAACATGAGAAAACTCGCTAATTGGTTATAAAATATTATGAATTATTGGTCCCTAATTTTTTTTTTTTTGGTTTGCAATTAAATTCTCTCATCTCATTGATCAATTTAAGAGACGTGAACCATAAAAAAAGAGCACCCATCATCTATTTAGAGTTTTCATGACACATATTGTTGTTTTAATGACTTTATGTATCTTTTTTGTAATTTGAAATTAGTCAATAAGACGAAAAAACTTAATCGAGGACTAAGAAAAAAGTTAAGACCTAAATCATAAAAAAAAGATTTTTTTTAATTTTTACTAATAATTCAAGATACTTTATAACCAATTTGTCTTTGATTAATGCATCATAATAATAATAAAAAAATCAAATTAGTAAAAAAATCTATATTTTAGTTTTATTTTTGCTAGTAAAAGTATCTATGGATGAGTTTATATGTCAATCGAAACCAAATTTTTTTCTAGATGTTTTTCATGGCACACTACCCATTAAGAAGATTTTATTAAATTCCCTAGTTATGGTACGTTAATAGTTAACAGATGGACTAAGTTATCCATAAATACAAAACGACAAGGAGTTGATATGTGATGTTTGAAACCAAAGGCCCAAAACTAGGCCACTTGAACTATTAAGGACTAAGTTTGCATTTACTCTACTTTATGTTATCGATTTCACCAACCTAATAGTCTTCTCCTCGCATATTTTTTTTTTAACCATAACCTCCTCCGCTTTCCCCCGTAGAATAAAAAATATTTTTCTTATTTAATAGCCACTAAAAATTGGAGATATAAAAACAAAAGTTTCATAAAAACTCTCTCTCAAATCATTCAACACCTCTCCCCGGCGAGTCTCTCTAACCAAACAACCAAACCTCTCTCGAATCTAAACGACCAAACAGCAGAAAGCTAAACGACAGCAATAATATGGTCGAAACCAGACGTAGCTCCTCCTCTTCCAAACGCTCCCTTCCTCCCTCTTCTCCTCCTCCCTCTTCCAAAAGATGCAAAGTACTCACTCTCTATTTAGATATATACTTTTTGGTGCGATGGCCTTCTGATTTATTTAAAGTTTTGATGTTTTTTTTATTGATTGAACCCTAGGCTGCTGTGGCGGCTTCTGCATCAGAGGTGTCATCGTCGACCAGCGATGCACAGCTACCAGTACTGCCGGCAGAAACTACAAGTCCGGAAAAGGAATCCGGGTGTGTACCACCCGAGCTAGATCCGCAGGCTACTAAGCCAGAAGAAGATAAATCCGCTGATGCTCAAGGCGAGGAATTGGTGTCCTTAGGTGCGATCTTCTTTCTATTCTATTTTTGCTTTTGAAAAAAGTTATCCATTTTTTTGTGATTTTGTTTAGTTGTTATTCGTTTTTAGATGAAATTACAGCCGGAGAGAAATCCAAGACTGCAGTAGTGCTGAATAAGTCAAAGAAGCGACTACCAAAATCGGCAAAATCCAATGCCAAGGTTGCATGGGGCCAATTATTGTCACAATGTTCACAGGTAAGTGGATGGTGATTCATGTTAGTGATCTGTTTGATTGACTATGTAAAGATGACAAATTTAAAATTTTTAATTTAGTACGTGGTTAGTTGGATGTTATTCTACTGTTTTGTTAATTGGAGTTTTGTTTTCACAATACTGAGTTATTAGCTCCCTGTTGTGTCCGCATGTGGCGAATATTTGTTTACTTCATCTGCCATGGTTTCATACACAGTTATGTTGTTCTATGATCTTTAAGATCTCTATCAATTGCATTGTTATTCTGCTTTTGCCTGCACTTGGTATTATATTTATAGTTTAGCTTATTAGGAGGGTGGTTGTTATAGATATGAGATGGCATCACTCTACAAGTTTCTTCCTACATTTTCAACACTAGTTTGAACTTCTTGCTTGGCAATTACTTGTGAAACCTTTCTACCATCATTGCCAGGAAACTCACTAACAAACCATTGTTTTAGCATTGTTTCAAGTCTTTGGATTTTTTAGGTAGTAATTGCGGATCTAGTTGAGATGATTAAGACTTTCTTATATCATTGTGAAATTAAGAACAAAAAAACTTTCTTTATGTGAGTTAGTGGCTTCTTTTGTGGCTGCACGCCTTTTGTGCAGGTTAAGAGTATGTGTATCTATTAAGACATGATCTTACCATTAATGCCACACTTTAAGTTGCTTGGGATAGTGCCTCGGAGGGTACTTAAGTTCTCTAAATAAAGGTCTAGTTCATTTCTACATATGTGGGTGTGTGGAAGAATTTGTGGGGAAATTTAATTGGAGCTTTGTCTTGTGAGGCTTAAGTGCTGTCCAGTCAGGGTCTCAAATTGTCTATTTATTGTCAGCTTGTTACTTAGGACAGATCGGGTAAAATTTATTTCAAGAGGGGATGGAATGTAATTTTAGGATTTCTTTGCTTATTTCTGTTTTGCGGTTCATCTCTCTGCTTAATAAGGTTTTTTTTATGTTCCTGTTACCACTGAGATCATTTACTTAACTATCTCCAGGTCATTCGGTTGCTTTTCAAGTTTATAATCTGCTGTTGCAACAAAAATTCATGTAGATTTTGCTGATAAATATGTTTTTTTTTATTCCCCTGTGCCAGGATTTTTGATTTGGTGTTGAAAATGAAATGGAAGTTGAGAGGATTTGTTGTCAGCCCCCAATTTATTTATTTTTTATCTCTGTTTATGTTGCAACTTTTTTCCCTTTTGAAAATGGGATTTTTTTGCCCCCAGAAATTGATGTCTAGTTCTTTTTGTTTCTTGACTTTCATTCTCCAAGTTATGACAGCAAACTGGAAAACTAGTGCTGAGTTTTGCTTACTTCTTCTGTCTTAAAGGCAGAATTCTGAAGATTGATCTGGATGTCTTACCATATTTTGTGGAGCTGAACAAGTGATTGTTTCTGATGCTTTTAAGTGTGTTATTCATTCCAGAACCCTCACAAGCTGATGTACAGCACTCTTTTTTCTGTTGGTCAAAGCCGTCAGTGCAATTTATGGCTTAATGATCCATCCGTCAGCACTGTGTTATGCGAACTGAAGCAAACAGAGGTAGTACTCTTTGCACTGTCTAATTTCTGTAATGTTTTTACTTGTTAACTAACAAAAATAGATGCATAAAGGTGAGACACTGCATCATTTTCCGTTATCATGTGATGCAACCCTGTTCCCCTATTTGTTAATCTGTTTATAATCACCCTGCAGCGTGGAGGTGCATCTGTTGCCTTATTGAAAATCACTGGGGGAAAGGAGCAGTCCAAGTAAATGGTAAACTCTGTCAGAAGAACGAAAGCTTAATATTAAATGGAGGCGATGAAGTTGTTTTCACTACTTCTGGAAAACATGCATATGTATCCTCTTCCTTTGCCTTGCCTTTGGCAAAATAATGTGGCTTTATGTATTATTATTACTATCATTTTCTTGTTTGTATTACTGTTCTGTCTTTTTGAGGGCATAGCAGGAAAATTCCTATCTAGATTTTTTGCATGTTTGCTCTAATCATTTATTTAAAATGTTACATTGCTTCTTATAAGAATCACTGAATTCCTTAATGCAAATCCTAGATTTTTCAGCAGCTAACAAGTAATAGCTTAAGCCCTCCAGGCTTGCCTTCTGTGAGCATTTTAGAAGCCCATAGTGCTCCTATAAAAGGGATTCATATTGAGGCAAGGTCTAGAGATCCCTCAGATTATGCAGGCGCATCAATATTGGCTTCTTTGTCACATCTTCTTCCACCGGCTGCCAAAGCCGGCGAAGATGTGCAGCAAAGTACAGAGTTCTCCACCTTACCGTCTGGCTGTGAAGCGTCTGAAGATCGTATTCCAGATGTTGAAATGAAGGATGGCACAAGCAATAATGATAATGCTGATGTTTCTCCAAGGGATAAAACTGTTGTTCCTTCCTCCAATGCTGCCAAAGAAAATGCTAATGTTGATAGCATGAGATTGGGTGCTTGTACGAATGCAGTTGTTGGAAGGATTCCAAATTCAACTTATGAATTAAAGCCACTGTTGCAGATCCTTGCTGGTTCATCTTCTGAATTTGATAAAATTTTTGATGAGAAGGAAAGGAGAGAAATCCTCAAGGATCTAGATCCTCTACCAGTTCTGATGTCCACTAGACGGCAATTGTTCAAGGATAGTTTACAAAAAGGAATTCTAAATCCTGAAGAGATTGAAGTCTCATTCGACAGTTTCCCATATTATCTAAGGTGCACATTTTCATTTGTCAAGTAGTTGAATAAATCATTACCCCATTGAATATTTTATTCTCAGCTATGAGCCATTTCAGTGTTGAAATTATTCACACTATGCATGTGTTTGTCATTTATGACTTAAGGTATAAGGACAAAACTGTGTACTAACAAATCTAATAATGGTTGGATATGACTGTTGCTTTGCGGGACTAATCTATTTTCAGATTTGAGAGGGATGGACTAATCTAAGAATCTGACCTTTTTAGGTTATAAAGGGCAGGATTAGCCCATGTATGCAAGTCACTCATTCAGTTCAATATACTCTAATTAACTGCTAAGCAAAGGAATTGGCAAAGGCAATGAATTGAGTTGAATTCCACAGAAGTCACTGCCCCAATCAAGCTTTAATAACTGATTCACCATTTGTTTTGTTATCTCATTTCTTACTGTGATGGTCCAAATTGATGCTTCTTCCTATTGTATATTGATCCCAAGTATTTTGGATGTTGGTATTTTTACTGACACTGAGCTCTCTTACAGTGAAACAACTATGAAAGTTTTGATAGGTGTTGCATTCATCCATTTGAAGTGTGGTAACAAAGTTGCGAAGTTTGTTTGCGATCTCCCTACTGTGTCCCCACGCATATTACTATCTGGTCCTGCAGGTAGCCCCTGTCTTATTTGTTTTATGATTTTTGTGTCATTTTGTATGTTATCTTATAAGTTCTATTCTTGTGAAATTTTGTTGTAGGTTCAGAAATATATCAGGAGACTCTGACAAAGGCACTTGCCAAAGATGCCGGTGCTAGACTACTAATTGTGGATTCACTTCAATTGCCTGGTGTAAGCTTTTTTGGATATCTTCAGAATCTATAATTTTTGTTCTTCATATGTGAGCATGTTTACTGTTCCTTAAGCCATGTCACGCACAATTTTTCATCCATATCAGGGCATGATGCTTTTTTTGAGCACCAAATATGCATTATTTAGGTGATATGATTTCTTATCATACTGATTTCTAATAATTTCAGGGATCGATACCCAAAGAAGTCGATTCTTCTAGAGAAAGTTTGAAGTCTGAAAGAGTCTCTGTGTTTGCCAAAAGAGCTGTGCAGGCGGCATTACAATCTAAGAAACCTACATCTAGTGTTGAGGCTGACATAACTGGTTGCTCCACATTCAGTTCTCATGCTCGGCCAAAGCAGGAAACTTCTACTGCATCATCTAAAAACTACACGTTTAAAACAGGCATGTTTTGCTTTTATAACAGCAGATTTTTTTTTTCTGTGGGGATAATTGTCTTTTAGCTCGGGTTTCATAGACTGTCTTAAGATTTAAAACTTAAATTGCTAGCTGATCTTACAGTTCGTTAAATTGCAGGTGACAGAGTAAAGTTTGTGGGTACCTCCTTAGCCTCTGCAATCTCTTCTTTGCAGCCTCCTCTGAAGTATTTTCCTTTCTTTTCTTGAAGTGTCTTATTTTCATGTTATTTGTTGGGTTCCTTACAATTTAATGGCTGTAGGTTTCCCATGCATATGGGATTTTATTTTATTTTTTCTTGAATACATGCTTCTTGGTTACATGCCATAAGTGCCTGTGCCTTGAACTGAATTTCAAAATTGTCCACCTTCCTTGGTACCATACACAAGCAGGTGCTTAGGTTTTGTGAAAGTGTTCCATTCTGTTTTGATTTTAACATTTTCTCTCTCTTTTCTCTCAGGGGACCGACAATTGGTTTACGAGGCAGGGTGGTCCTTGCTTTTGAAGGAAATGACTCTTCTAAAATTGGAGTTAGATTTGATAGATCGATCCCAGAAGGCAATGATCTGGGTGGTCTTTGTGAAGAGGATCATGGTTTCTTTTGTACTGGTGCATTTCTTGAACCATTTAGACTCTGTCACTGATTTATTAGATAATTACATAGATGGTGTTTGTTTGCAGCAGTATATCATCCAATGTCACTAATGCCTTATTTACTCTACAGCTAATTCACTTCGTTTGGATGGTTCTGGAGGAGAAGATGCTGACAGGCTAGCTATTAATGAGCTCTTTGAGGTCCTTGCTACTTTCACTGGAGCGATGTTGGTTGTTGCTTTCTTCTTTTTCTTCTTCTCATATAAGGCTCTCAGCTGAATTTTCTGATTTTTCATAGGTTGCTTTAAATGAAAGTAAAAATGGCCCCCTAATCTTGTTTGTGAAAGACTTGGAAAAGTCTGTGGTGGGAAATCAAGATGCATATGTGTCCTTAAAGAGCAAGCTTGAAAGTTTACCAGAGAAAGTTATCGTAATTGGTTCCCATACCCAGATTGACAATCGTAAGGAGAAGGTAAGCAATTGGCTGATATTCTGGTAGCTGTATTTGTATCTTCGCTCTTTTGACACTTCGAAGTTTTTCTTTAGCCTGAAAATTTATCATTACATTTTCCACGACTTCTTATGTTACAGTCCCATGCTGGTGGTCTTCTATTTACAAAGTTTGGAGGCAACCACACGGCTTTACTTGATCTTGCTTTTCCGGTACGCAAAAGCATTTCCATAATGGTTATGAGCATTTTTCTTTCTACTCCATGTTTGTGTTCTCAAATTCATTATTGTTTGTAGGGTACCTTCTATGTATATATTTCTGCATTTCTGGCTGGTGGCTGATTTGCCATTAGCCTCTCTCTCTCTCTCTCTCTCTCTCTCTCTCTCACATAGTGCATATGCATGTACATGTGTGCATATAGAAACTGTTTTAATTGCATTACCATGCTCTTCTCATAATAGCTGTGTTTATTTATATGGATATGTATTAATTTACATTAACTAGTTTGTGATGAAGGCTTTATTGTCATTATATATAGTAAGTTAAACAGATATAGCTTGAGCATATTTAGTCATATTATTATTCAGGCTTTTGCTAGGCAAATCATTATGTTACAAATTTTACAATTATGCTTCCAATGATTTTATGGGTACAAAAGCATGTAATTTGGGAAGCGTTTACCATTGCTTTCTTTGGATTGTTCTCTTATATTTTGTTTGTTGCCACCTTTTATTGCCCCATTGATTAATACAAGCACATTCTGATGTTATGTTTTCTTATAGTTGTATCTTTGGCAGAGGTTAGATTTATACAAGAAGCTCCCTTTTTGGAGAGATAGGTGTAACTAACAATTAGATTATGCCTTGGCTAAGATTTAGGAATTAGATTAGGACTATAAAGATTTAATCGGTAATGATATGATGGCTGAATCTTTGGATTTCTGCAAGAATTCATCTGACTGCAGAAAATAGGAGGGTTCGGACCTTAATAATGGTAATAAATTGCACAGAAAAAATATATAAACATTTTGTATTCCAACTATTGGATCTGAATTCCTGTTAAACGCAATATTGACTTAAAAACGTAAAAGACTAATAAAACTAATTATGCTGATGGCTATCAACATTATGTATTAAATCAAGTCAGTAGCTTTCATGATCAGCATTTGTGCAAAACATTGATTCCTTTCCTTGAAGTATCTCTATAAATAGGCATGTAATAAGCTTTAAGACACTGAAACTTTAAAATAAGACTTGCTTTGACAAAACAAAGAATTCAATGTCAGCCTCCTATATGTAGACGAAATTCCTTCATTATTTAGTTTGAATTTGGTTGTTTGCACTCTTATACTACGACAAAGCATTTTATCTCAGGGACTGATAGAAGCATAACCAAATATTTTGAGGTGTTTCCAGATTGATCTTGTACATATTGTAGAATCCAACTGCAGGAACCTTATCTCGAGGCAAAGCCTTGTGCGCTTCAGTAGCCTATTTGAAGATATCTAAGTTGAAAGGAACTGATTTTTTTATACCCAAGGATCAAGAGAGTCCATTAATTAACTACTGAGAAACACTACAACATAGGATAATCGACAATTGAGAAACTCTACATTATTAGGATCTTTAACCTGTGCTATTTTTTCTGTTATTATTTCTCAGTGCCTGGATTACTCTCTCCTTAGTAGCCTAGCTATGGATGCAATTTTTTGTTTTTAAGTATGAAATCTGTTAGCATGATTCTCTTGACATCTGATGCATTTTTTCACCTGGTATAAAGCTTAACTACTACCCCTAACATGACCAGACGAAGAGTGCCCTGGTGAGGTGATCACAGATTTGAGTGCTTGACACAGCTCTTATATAGATAATTTCACTTGGTCTTATTTCCTCCTATTTGCAATAAGGGTTCATTGATTATAATCATACGCAATGGATTTTTATCATATTCTGATGCTATTTTGGACTGGGATTCATTTTATTACAATCCAAAATTTCAAAAGCTTCCATGCTGGTTGTTTTAGTCATGTACATTAGTTTCATATCACTTGAGAATGAAAATGATGCAAGTATTGCCTCATTCAGGATAGCTTTGGTAGATTGAGTGATAGGAGCAAAGAAACACCCAAAGCAATGAAGCAGCTTTCTCGGCTGTTCCCAAACAAAGTGACAGTACAGTTGCCTCAGGTATTGTTCATGCAATCAGTTTATACTCTAGTCAAGCTTTTTTTTTTTTGTCCCTCCAACCCTTGAATGCCTTAGCCTACATTTTTGAACATCTTTGCAGGATGAATCTCTGCTTGTCGACTGGAAACAGAAGTTGGAGCGTGACATTGAAACTCTGAAAGTGCAGGCCAACATTGTTAGCATCCGTTCAGTAAGTATAATCTCTTCTGTATCCTGACCTGTTACTTCAAGTTTCATATTGGTTTTCCTACTTCCTACGTGGTGGTTGCTTCTGTCTTGAAAGAACTTCCTCTGGTATTTGTATGGTAGCCAACCTTTATGCAGATGAAATTGCTTGTAATGATGAGATGCATTATTCTTACCCATGGCATTCAAACACAAATACAGATGCCTCCATGCTTAGAACCAAACAGTGGTTTTTCTAATTTGGTCCTCTGATACTGTTGCAGTTTCCCTGCTTTTGATGTGCCATGGCAAATAGTTAATGATGATTCATCTATTACTTGTGTGTGGCTTCCAAAAACTCAAAAAGATTCCTCCTTCCTAAGAAAAAGAACATAATTTTTTCAAGTTAAGTTCTCACATGCTGTTGTGGACTTTCTGCTTTAGATTTTCCCATGAAGAATAACCTTTTTTTTTGGTTGTTGAGTTGCACAAGTTTTTTCCAAGTTAGATGTTGTTCCAATCCTATATATATGGGTCAGGTTGAAAATCTAAACTAAATCCTTTGCTTTTTATCTTTCTTTCTTTTCCCTTTTATGTTGTTTTAATGCTTTTGGTTTTCTAAATTTAGAAATTATACAATATATTTTTGTTTCTGACTTTATGTTATTTGGGTATTAATGTTGTACATGATGCGTGTAGGTTCTCAGCCGAGTTGGTATGTGTTGCCCCGATTTAGAAGCTGTGTGTGTTAAAGATCAAGCCCTTGCAACTGAAAGTAAGAGGAGTTATTCAAGTCTTGCATTTCTTCTTCCCCTCCTCTCTCTCTCTCTCTCTCTCTCTCTCTCTCTCTTTTTGGTGTTGATATTTACCTTAAACTGCAATCTTTCGCTGGTTCTATTTACTTCAATAGGTGTGGAGAAAATAGCGGGATGGGCTTTGAGTCACCATTTCATGCATTGTTCTGAAGCCTCTGTCAAAGATTCCAAACTTTTTATATCTTCGGAAAGGTTATTTTTATCTCCATGTTTTTTCATCATTAATTATGAAATGTCACTCTTTTCCTGTATAAGCTTTATTAACATTTCCTTTGATGTATATGCTGCACAGCATTATGTATGGGTTGAGCATTCTTCATGGCGTGCAAAATGAAAGCAAGAGCTTGAAGAAGTCCCTGAAGGTAAATTTGATGGCCATATCCGTTTGGCTGATTCTCATCTGCTATTTTTTCCCTTGCATATTTAATTTAACATAAAAGATCATCTTTCAGGATGTGGTCACTGAGAATGAATTTGAGAAGAAACTTCTAGCAGATGTTATTCCTCCTAATGACATTGGAGTTACTTTTGACGACATTGGAGCCTTAGAAAATGTGAAGGATACCTTGAAGGAACTGGTTATGCTTCCTCTGCAAAGACCTGAATTGTTTTGCAAAGGACAGCTGACGAAGGTTAATTGCAAAATATTGTTTTTTTCCTCCTATATGTATGTGTTTTCATGCTTACAAGATGTTATTCCTTTTACAGCCTTGTAAAGGAATATTGCTTTTCGGGCCTCCTGGTACTGGGAAAACAATGCTTGCAAAGGCTGTTGCAACTGAGGCTGGTGCAAACTTTATAAATATATCTATGTCGAGCATTACTTCTAAGGTACTTGTGTGTACATAGATTGTTCTATTTGTTATTCTGGGAGCTTTCACTTGAGCATTGCTATTTTTTTGTTGAAATGTTTACATCAATATTTATTGCAGTGGTTTGGAGAGGGTGAAAAGTATGTCAAGGCAGTTTTCTCTTTAGCTAGTAAAATTGCTCCCAGTGTTGTTTTCGTCGATGAGGTTTGTGCAATATATCTTCCGTTCACTCCATTATTCTGATATCCAGGGGTGGTAGGCTGATAGCTTGGGTTCACATTTTTTTCCTCATATTATCCCACTGTTTTTGGTTCCCTTGTTTTTTTCTTTTCTCTCTCTCTTTCTTGTTCTTTTCAGCAATGTTAGAAGCTAAATTTCCTAATAGGCTTATAGAATTTCCATCTAATAATGCAAAGTAGTTGCTGGCCATACAACTGAAACATGATTAATTTTGAATGATGAAAATTTAATAATGAATATGCATCACATATGAACATTATAAAAAATTTAAAGTTAACCTTTTGTCTTAAGGCCTGCGACCAGCATTGTTTAAGAAAGAAGATTCTTCTTTTTGCCCCATTAGACTGTTGCCCTCCATTTCTCTTTTTTCTTTATTTAGTAGTCGTATAGTTCCCAGCTTCTGTGAAGCCACAACAAAAGGCAATTAACAAATACATAGAGGCTATATTCTTTACCATCATTGTCATAATGGTAATAAGAGCAACAATAGCAACTGTATTTGAGTCAGTTTGAAATGAATGTTTGCTCACTTGGCTTATGTTTTTTAGGTGGATAGCATGTTGGGAAGACGTGAAAATCCAGGGGAACATGAGGCTATGCGTAAGATGAAGAATGAGTTCATGGTGAATTGGGATGGTCTGCGCACTAAAGATAAAGAGCGAGTGTTGGTACTTGCTGCTACAAATAGACCATTTGACCTTGATGAGGCTGTTATTAGGAGGCTTCCTCGGAGGTGCTTTATCTTATGTTTATCTTATACTGTTCTTTAAACTGGCACAATAACAACTCATTGACTGTCTTCTAAAATTGGTTGGCAGATTAATGGTTAACTTGCCAGATGCACTGAATAGAGAAAAAATTGTGAGGGTTATCTTGGCCAAAGAGGATTTGACACCTGATGTTGATTTAGAAGCAGTTGCGAGTATGACCGATGGTTATTCTGGAAGTGATCTAAAGGTTGTTTCACACTCTTTATATAGCATGTGACTTGTCTCTCATTACTTTCCTCTAATCTTTTTTTTTTCTTTTCTTTTCAGAATCTCTGTGTTACTGCTGCACATTGTCCTATACGAGAAATATTAGAGAAGGAAAAGAAGGTTTGTTGGACATTGCTACTAGCTTAATGCAAATTATTCTGATGTTCTCTATTATAGAACATATCTAATTGAAACCCCATAACTAGTTCTTTAAGTGCAAAATGTGAATGGGTGCGTGTATTGATTCTGACTATGGTTACTTGGTTGTGGATATTTAATCCATGAAACATTCATGCCTAGAAGTCATTTTAGTTCACACTGCCCTAATACAGTATGCTCATAAATACGTGCCTGCTTCTTCCTCATAATTTGTTAGTAAGCCAATAATACATTTTTGGAACTCTCTCATGGAAGGTTGCCAGTTATGACAGTGCCATGTGGTTTATGCTAGTAGAGAAGTTCTTGGAACTCTTAGCTTAGCTGCTGTAAATATGGCATGTAATAATGCACTGGATGTACCAGTTCCCAGTATGTAATGTGACCACTTGTTGCAATGCCAGTGAACATTTCAGTTAATTCATCCAGTGCGTTTAGGTTTTTCTTTGAAGTTCAAACATACTTGCTTGTTGACTTCTGAACTCTATATGTACTGATTTGACTTTTGGACATAAGTTTGTCATTCCTGTTTGGTTGTATTGATGCTTTTAGACAAATTTTGGGAGGGAACTTAGCATGATAAAATTAAACTACTGGCTTGCTTACTTTTTTAAATATTACGTGGTGATTTGACTTTTGCACATAATTTTGTTCACCTGTTGGCTATGCATTGACGTTTCGGGGGCACAAATTTCAGGAAAAAGCTTTGGCATTGGCGGAGAATAGTCCTTTACCCACTTTGTACAGCAGTGCTGACATCCGTCCTCTCAAGATGGAGGATTTTAGATATGCGCATGAACAGGTAATTGTCTGGCGTGTGGACTGTGTAGAGTAATATACTCGTTTCGAGTAAGTTTGTTAATTTACAATTTGGCATGAATATGTTCTTTTGGATGTTTGGTCTGGGACTCTGGGTTGGTTCTCAGTGTGCTCAATAATAGCTTGGTCAAGTCTTCACTTTGTCGGAAGTTTATTCTTCTAAGGTTGCATTTAGATCAGGATTAAGAAATGGCGATATGTGTTAAGAGGTGAGTGAAACATTGAAAAATAAAGGATGTTTGGTAGGTGTGTAAAAATTGTGTGGCAGTGTGGCCCAACAGATGTAAATTCAAAATTTGAATTAATGCGACTTAAAATTTCTAATAAATAACGTGCCAGTCATAGTAATGGATCATAATTTTGAGGAAGAGAGAAGCATAATGGGCTGTCACACTTACCCTTTTTGCATAATTTTGTTAACTTTGACAGTGATATGGGAAGTTTTTTTTGGTTATGCTATACTTTATTGGTTAGGAATATTCTACATTTATCAGTCAGTCAGGGCATTTTGTTCTTGATTCACGCTCAATAAAATTTTCTTAAAACCACAGGGATTAATGTCTAATGTTTGTCAAGGCTCAGCCCTTTTATTTTCATTTAGATTCTCCTTTAAAAATCGGTCTATTGATTTCTTTATTAATTCTGCTCATTTTCGTCAACTCCCTTGGAAGTATGAGAAATTGTTGCCTAATGTGTGGATGCATTTATTTATTTTTTTATTTTTTTATTGAAGAAAGAAATGCCATCCCTGTAAACCTAAACAACCTTAGCATTGTCATTTGATCATATCTAAATCTGCAATGGATTGGTTTTAATTTATTTATCGAAGATGGAAAAGTCATGAACAGCAAGGATAAGTGGACCCTAGTAATCATATTTGATGCTTTAACTGCAGGTGTGCGCAAGTGTGTCATCAGAGTCCTCAAATATGAATGAACTTCTCCAATGGAACGATCTATATGGAGAAGGTGGATCGAGAAAGAAGACATCACTCAGCTATTTCATGTAGAGAATGTATGTTTATGTACAGTCATTTCTTGTTTAATTTATTCTTAGGTCGCCTTATTCTCCTCAAAAGGTGGCCTAGATTTAGGGACCTGTGTTTTATGGAAATTCCTTTGCAGGTTCCGACCCTTTGTACCATAGAATAGGTTTTTTAATTTATTCACCGCATTCAGGAATTTTACAATATTTATTTGGCAGGTAACTTGGCCAAAGCTGCTTTTTTTTTTTTTTTTTTTTTTGCTTTTTTAGATTCAATTTTTTACCTGTCTTAGTAGTATGTAAATGCTAGTTTTGATCAATGAATAAAACAAAATTTTACCTTATTTGCCTCATAGTATCTCCGCCTCTCTGTATCCCAACTCGGTTAATATCATTTCTGTGATTATTTTTAAACGATCGGGGTCCTGGCTTATAATATTTGCTTTTCTGTAGTTTTTTTTTTTTTCTCTCTCTCAACAAATAGGCTTAACAATCCAAAGCAAACTAGACTAGCTATTACGAAACCAGTGAAAATTTAGTCCATCATGACAATTCACATCATCTCTCATGGATGGATTGGATGATACCAAAGTCCCGCAGCTTGAAAATTCCGTATAGAGCTGGTGCATGAAACATCTTTCCCCTCCGAGAGTATTTTTTATTTTGGGTGACAGTATTTTTCAATTTGACCTCCTACTCCCACCTCAAAATTGCTTTATACGCAACACCATGGGACCATCATCATCCTCCGCGCAGGGGGTTAAATAGAAGCTCAATTTCAACTTGAGAGACCTCGTGTATCGCTTTGCTGTGTTCTCCCACGACAGTCTTTATTTAACTTAACGGAATTGTACGATTCTGTTACTTTTTTAAATATTGCAAATATTTAGCAAAAATAATGAATTCAAGATAACAATAGCCGCGACCTTGTTTAGTACCAGCAAACACCGCAATATGTGATCTGTGATGGAGAAATTATTTCCATTCAAACAAAGCTCTAGGCCTTGTTTCATTTTCATCAACACAGTTCTTAACTGGAAGGTTTAGCAACTACCTAGGCAGTTCCTCAACTTAATGATGAATTAAAGGACCTTCCGAGTCCATCCAAAATCTTATGGCACTGCTTGTACCGATGATACATTATTTGTTCGAACACATCTGATCTCGTATTCTTTACAAGTTTCTCCACACACAAGAACCTTTAGGTAATTTTTTTTGGCTTTTATTAAGCATTTAGAAGGTGAAATTCACCCTGTATTCTTGTATTATTTAGCATTGTTTACCTTTTTATCCGAGTATGATAAAAAACAAACTTTTGTAACTATATGTAATCATAGGATTGATCTGATGTTGGATAAAATGGTTGGTTTATTCTAAAATTTAATAATACAAGTTTGTTTTGCACTATACGAGATTAAAAAAAGTAAAAATAAACAATATGAGATATTACAAGAATACAAAGCGAATTTCACCGTGTATTTGGCCCTAATAACTTGAATTAGATATTCCAAGATCATCAGTGAGAGTAAAGCACGATGCTCCTCTAATTTCCAGCCTTTGAGCCTTCTGCGCTGCCTCGGGTAAAAAGAAAAAAAAAATCTCCAATTATGCATATTGTTCAGATTGTTAGAAACCACATCAGTTAGAAGCGGCTTAAATTTATCACCCTGTATTTTACATCTAGTAGAAACATCGATTATGAAAACATGCAATTTGATAGTAAGTGACTGCTTAAATTTTATTGATGCAGCCAGACTCCCCTTCTTCACTTTGGGTTGAGGGACTAGCTGCTAGGGGAACCATTTTGCCCTTCAGTGAGTAATTCCAATCATGGAACGATTCATATTAAAGCGGAGTAAACCTCCACATTCTGTAACAAATACTTGCATCAGATGACCAACAAAGTTAGATTCAGCCTGATATAACCGCTGTATCCGTATGAAGGTTGATAGTAAATATTCATAATACAATCTGAGGTTGATCACATCCAAATTGGTGATAAAATAACTAAACACGTAAACTTAGTCTTTAAATACCTTTTGAAAGTTCATCTAGTCACCACCAAATAAAATGAGAAGGCGATCAATGAAAACCAAACATCCACAACAGTCTTATACTTATTTCCCCATTGTCATCATTGTGTTAAAGACAACTGAATGCAAAGTTCAAAAATAGGAGAAGCCGAATGGGGCTTGAAGCAGGATTTCCAGGTAACAGTGGAAAGGAATGCTAATATTGCCTAAAATATAACATTCCCTCCCAATAATAATTCAATATGAACAAAGAGAATTACCAACAAATAATTCCGTAATTCGTTAATAGAATAGAAGAGGGCTAGCCATTACACCTTTTTAATGGATATCGTCCAAAGAAGGTTGGAACTGGACTGCACTGTTATTTTTTCTCCTTGGACTAAGTTTGATGTACTTACCAGATTACCAAAGCTCATCTCCGTGTTAGCTGGAAGACGAAGAATACAAAATTTAATCAATCAAACTCCTAGGGCAAATCGCACAATAGCTAAGAAAGAAATCCATCAGGCATTAACCAACACAACAATTTTATTCAACGAGGAAAGGAAGAAGATAATCACAACAAAACCCTAACATTTTTGCCTTCAGTTGTTTATCACGTCATTCTATACCACAATGAAGAAAAGCTGTGGTGTCAAGAACACAAAAAAAGGATAATTGCACTGTAAGTATAACAACTTTTAATGTTTTCTCAATTGAGTATGTAAACTTTAATTTTTTTGTTTAAGTACGCCAATTTTTTCAAAACAGCCGATCAATTATTTTCCATCAAATTTTTGTAACTTGCTCTGTTACTTGATGATGTATCCTTTTTCCCATACTACTAAATTATGATTTTGTTCTTTCATTCTTAGAGGGAATTTTCCATTCCAAACTATTTTGTCATTTTCTAACTTTTAGAAAAAAGGACAATTTGAGTACTTATTATATAAAAATTAGAAAATGGTAAAATAATTTGGAAGGGAAAGTTCCCTCCAAGAATGAAAGGGAAAAAATCATAATTTATTAGTTTAAGATGAAAAACACATCATCATTTAACATTGCAACTGTCAGAAGTTAGATGGAAATACTTGATTGACAATCTTGAAAAAAATTGAAACACTAAAAAAAAAGAAATTAAACTTTATATTCTCGATCGAGAAAACGTTAAAAATTAGTTTACCTACAAAGCAATTATCCCCCAAAACAAACTACGGGCTAAATCACTAAAAAACCCTTTCATATGTTAAATGACTATTAATGATGATGTATGATTTAGTGTAAAATGTTGACCAGTGTTACAGATATTATAGGCTGAATTGTAGAAAGCAATAACTTGAGTGTAGGCTGACTTGTAGGAGTCAACATAATGTGTATATATATGTGTGTATATGCTTATGAATAAGATATGGAAAAAGTTTTTTATTTCTCAAGTTTTACACGGTATCAAAGCCCTGTAGAGTGACCAATTATTCTCCTCTTCTTCTCTAACTGCATGCCCAAGTGAACAGTGTGCAACGTTTTTGGGTCACCCTTGTAGAGTGACTAGTTTTCCCCATTTGGTCTTGTACAGCACATATCTATGCTATTTTGCTCCAACATCCATTCGGGTGTGAGATATCTTTCAAATCAGGAACTTTTTTTCTAGGTGTGCTTTGCCAAAAAAAAAAGAAAAAAGAAAAAAAAATCCGGAGTTATGGCTGATAAGAAATCACGAAACATAAGCTTAATGGTTCCAATTATTTGGATTGGAGTAAGATAATTTGAATTTATCTGAGGAGTATTAATAAGGATAATCACCTTACTGAAGATCCACCCACATTGATTCGAAACAGACATGATAGAGGGATAATGCCCAACTATTTTTGCAAATACGGAATTCCATCGACAATGAGGCAATTGGTTTCATTAATCACCGTGAATTTGTCAAGGAATTAATGGAATATCTAGATTTCTTGTATTCTGAAAAAGGTAACATTTCTCGCATATATGAGGTGTGCAAAGCTTTTTGCCGTGCAAAGAAACAAGATAGATTTCTGACACCTACTGTATAGAGTTTAATAAAAACTATGAAGAACTTAATATTTTGTTACCATTTAGTTCTAATGTGAAAGTTCAGCAATCTCAACAAGAGCAAATGGCTGTTATGAGTTTCCTAGCTGGTCTTTCTCCTGAGTTTGAAAATGCTAAATCTCAAATACTCTCTAATCCTGAAATCCTTCTTTGCAAGATGCATTTACTAGGGTGTTTCGCACAGACAGCACTCCATCTATTCTGCCTACTTCATCTGTTCAGCTTACTAGTGCTCTTGTGAGTCGAAGTGGTGGGTATAACATAAGCGGTAATAGAGCAGGGGAGGACAAGCAATCTTAGCTTTTGATAATCAGAGTCAGGATTCTGAAAGAGTTGTATGCTATTATTGTCATGAGCGGGGCCACACAAAGCAAACTTGTAGAAAATTGCAGAATCAATCTTAGAGAACTCCGTCCGCACATTTTGCAGCCACTAATGCTACATCTAATTCATCATCTGAGAACTCCATATGGTTTTTGCAGATGAATTTGCTAAGTTCTCTCAGTACCAAGAATCATTAAGGTCTTCATCTCCTCATATCACCGCCAAGTCAGGTAAACCCACTACATGTCTTATTTCCTTATCATCCAAATGGGTCATTGATTCTAATGCCACAGATCATATGACAGGTAATCCTACTCTCCTGTCTACTTTTCAGTCTCATGCATCACCTTCTAATGTTATATTAGCAGATGGGTCCACTTCTTTTGTCCTTGGTTCTGGCATTATTAATCCAACTCCATTAACTTCCCTGTCATCTGTATTGAGTCTTCCCAATTTTTCTTTCAATTTAATTTCTATGAGTAAACTTACTCGTGCCTTTAATTGTTGTATCTCATATTATCCTGATCATTGTCTGTTTCAGGATCTTATGACGAAGCAGATTATTGGCAAAGGACATGAATCTAAAGGGGGCTCTACATTCTAGACACACAGGTGCCAAAATCCATTGTCTATTCCAGCATCTTAACTCCATTTGAGGTGCATTGTTAGTTAGGACATCCTGGTTGGCGGAATGCTATGATAGAAGAAATGACTACCTTAGATGATAATGGTACTTGGAACTTCGTAAAGTTACCTGCAGAAAAGAAAGCTATTGGATGCAAATGGGTTTTTGCAATTAAGGTAAACCCTGATGGGTTAGTTGCTCGGCTAAAAATCCGACTTGTTGCAAAAGGGTATGCTCAAACTTATGGTATGGATTATTCTGACACTTTCTCTCCTATAGCTTAGATGAAATCTGTCAGGTTACTCATTTCTATGGCGGCCACTCATGATTGACCTTTACACCAGTTAGATTTTAAGAATGCCTTCCTACATGGTGACCTTCAAGAGGAAGTCTATATGAAGCAACCACTTGGATTTATTGCTTAGGGGGAGTATGGGAAAGTCTGTCATCTTCGAAAATCTCTGAATAGTTTGAAACAAAGTCCTCGTGCTTGGTTTGAAAAATTCAATCAGGTAGTTGAGAAGTTTGGAATGACAAAGAGCAAATCTGATCACTCGATCCTTTATACACACTCTGAAACTAACATCATTCTTCTAGTTGTATATGTCGATAACATTGTCATTACTAGGAGTGATACTAAAGGGGTATTTCATCTCTTAAATCCTTTCTTCACACTCAATTTCACACAAAGGATTTAGGGTTATTAAAATAATTCTTGGTTGTTGAGGTGACAAGGAGCAAGAAAATCATCTTAACATCTCAGAGGAAATACGTACTTGACTTATTGAGATTGGAAAAATGGGAGCCATACCATGCAGTGTGCTAATGCTTCCTAATGTGCAACTCACAAAGATGGTGAGTCGTTTGAAGATCTGGAGAAATATAGAAGACTGGTTGGGAAGTTGAATTGCCTTACAGTGACTCGTCCAGATATTGCTTTCTCTATTAGTGTTGTAAATCAATTTAGAGGGCAAATTCTATGTCATTTGGAAAGAGCCTCAAGACGTGGCATACTCTAAGGAAATCATGAGCACACTCATATTGAGTGTTTCTCTGATGTAGATTGGGCAGGTTCTAAGATAAATAGGAGATCCGTGACGAGCTATTGTGTCTTTGTTGGAGAAAATCTAATCTCATGAAAGAGTAAGAAGCAAAATTTTGTGTCCCGATCTAGTGCGGAATCAGGATATAAAGCTATGGAACAATCTGTGTGTGAATTAATATGGATATCTCAGCTCTTGACTGAAGTTGGTCTTAAGGCTTCATTACCAGCAAAATTGTGGTATGATAACCAAGCTACTATTCATATTGCTTCTAATCCCATGTTTTATGAACGAACCAAGCATATTGAGATTGAATGTCATTTCGTTCGTGAGAAAATACAACACAATTTGATTTCTACTGGGTATGTGAAGACTGGAGAACAACTAGGGGATATTTTCACGAAGGCTTTAAATGGGGTTCGGGTTGAGTATATTTGTAACAAGCTGGGCATGATTAACATCTATGCTCCATCTTGAGGAGGAGTGTTACAGATATTATAGGCTGAACTGTAGGAAGCAATAACTTGAGTGTAGGCTGACTTGTTGGAGTCACAGACATGATGTGTACATATATGTTTATATGCTTATGAATAAGATACGGAAAAAGTTTTTTATTTCCCAGGTTTTACAACCAGAAAACATGTTAATTAGGATTGGAGCTCTATATATTCCTGCTTATTAGCTCAGCAAACGAAAGCAATCACCAAAGTAATCTTCGAAGCAATATACTTACTGAGATTCCACCGAAGCCCTGTTGTAGTGCTCACAGATGGCATCCCTATGGGAATGAGTCCGCAATGTGGACCCTCGACAGAAGATTGAATATTAATCTCATGGCGATGAGTCCTTGGAAGTAAGTAGATTAGGCAGTCATCGGATAACAGGATTAGTCGCATGGTTGAGAAACGATATAGCACATTAATGTTTCCAGCCTCGTGGTCAAATCGCCCACCAAGTGCTCCAGTTACAAGAATGCAGAGCTGCAAATTAAAGAAAAAGCAAAAACCTGTCATAATGCCAATCTGAGCAGGGAACCAGTCACTACTTTGGTAGTGCAGTGTAAGTTTTCACTGAAAATTTCATAATTAATTTTTCACTGACAAGTTCCTAAGCAAAAACTAGCCTATCATGATTCTGAAAATTTATCAGGCAAAATGACGTACAAAAGACAGAAGAATCATAAAAGGTCAGAAACTATTGTGTTAACTGCACAAAAAACTTAGTGACTCAAACCTATAACATAGTAAAATTTTCACACATGCACGCTCTTAAGGAAGACACTACACTCTCCAAACCATAGGGACTCGAAAACAAAATCAACCAAAATTCTTTATACAAGTGTGTAGGTAGGTGACACATGCGTGAGATGAGGCGGAGGAACCTTGAAAAAGGAAGCTTTGGATATGAATATGTTTATCTTACATTCGAATTATCCAAGTTTGGCGTGAAATCCTAATTGTAGCCTACACATTTATGTATGGGGTGGAGGACCCTTGAAAAAGGAAGCTTTATGTTTATCTTACATTCGATTTATCCAAGTTTGGAGTGAAGTCCCGAATGTAGGCTACACACTTATGTAGATCTGTGGTGTCCTGATCGTGAGATTCATCAATTACCTCGGTTCCCTGCATTTTGGAAGCAAGCAAAAGTATCTGAGCAAGGTTTGATTGACCGCACTTGGGAAAAAACATTATGTAAGCATGGCCCAGAAAACAATTGAGAAAATTAAAAAAGAGCCTTAATCATAAGGTGCCAACTCCAAACATGATAAGTTGGCAGTGCATGAATGGAAGATACTTCCGAAGAATAAAAGGAAAACATCCTACTGATAATACAGATATACAAGTGACACCAAGAGACTTAATACCAGGTTGGCATAAAAGTCCAGTACTTCTGTCCGAATTGAGTCCATGTCCCCTTTGATAACGTCTGGCTTGTACCTGGTTGAAATCTACTGGTTAATATTACAATAAGATGTGCTAAAGATGACGAGTGATTTAAGAACCATGGTTTCTGGACCACCACACATAATTCACGTATCAACAGTCTAATGTGTCTTATATACCAAACAATCTAGAACTCTATGTTGTTCACTCTAGTCTGCTCTGACAGGAGGCATCATGAACTCCCTTGCTGAAGGAAGAATAAAAAATCATATGCTCAGTAGATGTCAATCAGAAAAGCACAAGGGTTTTTGGAGAATAAATATTTAAATGTTAGCAACTTCAAAGAATTTTTAAATTGGCAAACATTTTCGGACGCCATGACAAAAACCTACTCCAATATAAAGGAAACGTATAAATATACTCAGGCATATCAAAACACAGAACTTTAAGTTAGTTTTTAAGATGCAGATGTTTGCTAGCAATACTTATTCATTCCCAGACCAGAACCTTAAAAACAAGCATCAAAAGTCTCCAGCACAAATAAATAATTCTGGGTTCATTATTTTAGAACAACTCTATTCACATCTGACTTGGCCTTTCTGATCTTATTCAGCCATGAATGTACCTATAAGTATAACATACCGTTAGCATAGACCCCATCAAAGAAGATTTTGTTTTTGTCGCAATCAAATTCATTTTAAGATCCAATTCAAATGGCAGAACCACAAGCAGCTAAACTTTATAATTAAGCTAAACACAGAGTTTTATCATGAAAAACCTCAAAATCAACCTCTGTATAAATTAGAGGAGCAAAAGAGAGAGAGAGAGAGAGAGACCTGTGTCGAACATCAAGAGCGTCATCGCTAGGGATCAAACGAGGCATTTCGTCGAACACACGATTGGCACCTCCATCAGCACACACCCGCACCCGTGCTGTTCTACACACAAAACACAGCCCCAAAAACCGAAAAAAAAAACCTTTGTGAAGCTCACGAGCAAGCAAAGAAATAAAAAGAAACCCAGAAGGGATGCCGAAGCCGAACCGCGGCTCCAGAGCAGAGGAGTGAATCTGGGGAGGCGTTGGTTAAGGACGACAAGTGCGTAGGTTACAGATGTGCTGCGGTCGTTACCGGGCAGAAGGAACGAGGAAGAATGAGTCATCATCTCCATTTTCTGCTTGTTCGATTAAATTAAATTAAAAAATAAAGCAGAGAGGCTTTCAATAGAGGTATCTCCGTTTTTATTAGTTGTTTCTTCTTCTTATTTTATTGTACGTTTGAATTCGGGAAGGCGATGACAGGTGGTCAAAGACTGCTTTGTTTTTTTCTTTTTTAATTACAAGCACGACTCTTTTTTGTTACAAACAGTTTGAATGATAAGTAAATAAATAATAGTAGCAAAAGTCGGCGTCGCTGTTACTGTCACAATCACTTTTGTGTTCACCCAGTCAACTACTTCTATTGCTTAGATTTTTATTCCAGTATCTTTTTTTCCTAATAAGATCATATTAGGAAAGTAAAATGGATAAGAATGTCATTGTATTCCATAAAAGGAAACTAAAACCTCCCACTATTGGTGCTCTCTTTTCGTAAAATCGTGTAAATTTCCGAAGTAAAAAAGAAAAAATTATTTAGAAAAAAGGGGCAAGCATTAGCTATCCTTCACTGCCGGAAGAAAAAAGAAGTTAAGATAACTCTGATGAATACAAACACGTGTGTATAGTGTTTATTTTTGCTTCTTCTTTGTTTTTTTTAATATACTCAAATTAAGGTTATATCGGTATTTTGATGTGTCTAGGGGTTTGGATAACTCAAATTAAGTCGTAGTTTAAAATTAGATATTGGCACAATTTGTATTAGAAATCTTTGCACAGTTCGTTTGGAATCTCGATAAAATTACTTGGAATCAATTGACAAGAGGCCAGAAATTGCATGAGTTTCTCTAAAATATATATATATATTAGGACTAAGTTGACAGAACTATAATTGTTTAGGGACGAAAACTGTCATTGAACCCCACCTTTCCCTCCCCCTCAAAGCCCCTCTAAACAGTGTCCGCTTTGGCGGCAAAACACTCAACGCAACAGATTCCAGTTCCCCAGTCTGTCTCTCTCTCTCTATCTCTATACCAAATCCAAAACCTTTCGTAACATTAACACCCAAATTGAGTCTAACCCATTTGCTTTCTCGCATAACTATCTCTCTTCCTTGCTCTCAAAATCCAATTTCTAGGGTTAATGTTCAATTTAGGGCTTCGATGGAATGCTCCCCAACTAGTATTAGGCCTATAAACAAAGCCGCAGTCCACAGAATCTGCGCAGGTCAAGTCATTTTGGATCTCTCATCCGCAGTTAAGGAGCTCGTTGAAAACAGCTTGGATGCTGGCGCTACTACCATCGAAATCTCTTTGAAAGACCACGGCCTGGAATCCTTCCAGGTCGTCGACAATGGATGCGGCATTTCTCCTAATAGTTTCAAGGTAATAATGTATTGTATTATTAATGATTCCTTAATTTTTTTGATTGATTGATGGAGCATTTAGTATTTGATTACGTTACTCGTGTGCTGGCAGGTTCTGGCACTTAAGCACCACACCTCCAAATTGGGGGATTTCCCTGATCTTCAGTCTTTGACCACATTTGGTTTCAGAGGAGAGGCATTGAGTTCACTTTGCGCTTTAGGAGACCTCACTGTTGAAACCAGGACCAAAAACGAGTCGGTGGCTACACACTTGACTTTTGATCGTTCGGGTTTGTTAACAGCTGAGAGAAAGACAGCCCGACAGGTTGGTACCACAGTCACTGTCAAGAAGTTGTTTTCTAATTTGCCGGTGCGAAGCAAAGAATTTAGCCGCAACATACGCAAGGAATATGGAAAGCTTATTTCTTTACTGAACGTGAGTTGTTTTCATTGTTTTCTGATGTTTATTCTCTTCATTTCATAATATTTATGTCTATTAGATTTAGTGTTTTGGATATGATGGTTTTGATTGAACCTCAAAGGGTGCCTATGAAACAGAATATAGTAATTCTGCTATATGATGATGCCTTGTGATTGCCCATTTAAATTAAAGAACTTTTCCTTTTTTCAGGCTTATGCTCTTATTTCAAAACGCGTTCGCATAGTCTGCGCTAATACTACTGGTAAAAATGCAAAGTCTGTAGTACTGAAAACCCAAGGAAGTAACTCCCTTAAAGATAACATTATAACAGTATTTGGCATGAACACCTTCAGCTGCTTAGAGCCTGTGGATATAGGTATATCAGACAATTGCAAGGTTGAAGGCTTCCTTTCTAAGTCTGGTCAAGGAAGTGGTCGCAATTTGGGCGATAGACAATACTATTTTGTAAATGGTCGACCGGTGGACATGCCTAAAGTCAGCAAGCTTGTGAATGAACTATATAAAGGTGCAAACTCTCGACAATATCCCATCGCAATCATGAATTTCACCATTCCGACCAGAGCTTGTGATGTTAATGTAACTCCTGACAAAAGAAAAATATTCTTTTCTGATGAGAGCTCTATACTGCTTGCTCTAAGGGAGGGACTGGAGATGATCTATTCTTCAAGTAATTCCTGTTATTCTGTTAATAAATTTGATGATCATGCTAAGGCACCAGATAGCTCTCAGCTGTGCTCTCCTCGTCAGATATCTAATATGTTATTGAAACAATTATCTGCAAATGGCAATGACCGTGAAGAAACTCAAACAGAGAAGCATAATGCAGAGGACAGCAGTCCACTCATGGCAGTTGAAGCGAAATCCACGCCCTTTCAAGTTGGAGAAAGATCTATCCATGACATTGAGGAAAAGTTTATGATGAAGGACTTCGCTCTTAGATTACATGGCAGTGATAAAGCTGATAGTCTTGCAAACAGTAACTGTCATAAAGCAACGGCAGATTTTAATACTGTGACAGATCAAAATACACGATCCCTGTCAAATGGCCCTTCAAGCTCCTTTCAATCAAAACTTAGCAATTTTTTAACTGTCAATAAGAGAAAGCGTGAAGATATTACTACACAATTGTCTGAAGTTCCTGTCCTAAGAAATCAGGCTTCTGAATGTCAATTGAAGAAAAGCGGCACTGAGATGCATGCTGTGGAAACAAGTCTTCCTGTTGATCATCGCCACACTGATGATTCTGTTGAGGTTAGTGATACTGAGCCACCCAAACATTGCAGAGCAGATATGATCTTCAATAAAATAAGGAATTCTCTTTCTTCTAGCAGAACTACTGGTGATGGAAAACCTGGGGAGGTGCTCTTGGCCTCTTTTTGTCAAAATAATTCCTCCCTTTCATGCTTGATTGTGAAAACCTTTTTTACTCATTTCACTTGATTGCATGTGTGGCCTAAACTCTTGATGTGTGAGTTTTACTGCTTTATTCACAGGATCCATCAGGTGAGCAAAAATCATCTTCTCCTGACGATGTCCCATCCATTACTTCCCGTTGCAAAGAGCTTGAAAATTTGTCAGAGGATCTCTCTGTTGCCTCTGCTCCAGTTCAATCTTCCATTGTAATATTAGATGCTCCAGTGCCTTTTTCTGCCCAACAGATATGCTCCACCTTGCAATTTAGCTTTCAGGACCTACGGGCAAGAAGGCTGCAGAGGCTGTCAAGGTTGCAATCTGGCAATTACACATTTGGAGGCACAAAGAGAAGGTCTACAAAGTAAAATGATTTTATTCAAGTAGAGAAATACAAACTCTTTTCTATTTGTAACAAACTTAGTTTTTCCTGCTCAGTCATAGGAGCTATGCTGCTGCAACGCTGGAGCTCTCTCAACCGGACAATGAGGAGAGAAAATTAAGGGCTTTAGCTGCTGCTACTACTGAACTAGAAAGACTATTCAGAAAAGAAGACTTTGGTAGAATGAAGGTTATTATTTGCTCTATTTATTTGATTATATACGGGAGCAATGCACATAGCTAAGTAGAAGCATGAGTTTTCTAGCACTAGGATTTCTTGTCTGTATAGTCTTTCCTTTCCTATTTTTTTTGTTGTCCTTTTTCATCATTTTATGAATCATTGTGTCATAAAGATCTTCATATAACTTGCCTGCCAACATGAATCAATTCAGTGTCTTGTGAAGAAATTCAAACAAAAATTTTACAACACTGTGGTTGGCCCTTTTTAAATTTGGCTGGTTTGTTTGTGAAACTTTTAGGGTAGCTAAATTTTCAGCAAGAACACTTTTTATGATGACAACTGATGAATGACCCATGGTAACTTTTTTTTTTTTTTTTTGTAGGTGATTGGCCAATTTAATCTTGGGTTTATCATTGGGAAATTAGATCAGGATTTATTTATTGTGGATCAGGTAATTTTCTATCCATGGTTGTGTATGACATCTGCTTTCAACATCTGCATGTTCTACCTATTTCATTTTGAATGCTGGAGTTGATTAAATGCTGGTGTTTGATTTTGTCTTGAGACTGCACATGCATGGAGAATGTGTAGAATTATCATACTGTTTTTCCAATTTTTTGTTTTCAGCATGCTGCTGATGAGAAGTATAATTTTGAGAGACTCTGTCAATCAACCATTTTAAACCAGCAGCCCTTGCTTCGGTAAGGAGTTCATGACCTCCTGAATTGCTCTTGCTAAATCTCTTGTAACTTTGGAATGTAAGATGCTTGATACAATTGCAATGTCAATGAGCGATTGTAAATCTGGGATACAATCAGTGTTTATATACCTACTCAATCCAAGGTCCTGGAATCAAAATAAGTTTCTGAGCAGATCATGAAATACATGGATATATTCTCTATCGAATGAACATGGAGTCCACTTGTAAGTTGTCCCCTGCAGTCACCCCTAAGTAATAGAGATCAACACCATATTCTAGACTGTGGAAAACTTCTTCCCCCTAGTGTTGTTTATCCACTCTCTCTAATGTAGCATCTTTTGCATAAGATTTGTTATTAGATTCCCTCCTTATGCTTTTTTGCTGCTTTGGAGTGTCAATATACCTTTTTTGGCCTACATTCTATGAGTTTGTAGTAATCCTACCATTGAGATCAAAATGGACGTGAAAGATTATTCTCAAGGGAAAGAGAAACTATATAACCCTTTGCTCACTTGTCAAGAGGGGGATTGGACCTGTAGAATTGGATATATCAACTATTTGGGATGCATCCACTTTATCACCTAGTGTAAGTTAGTTGTTGCACTTGCTATATGCAGAGTCCAAATGACATCATGAGTTTGTCTTTCAACTCAATTTTGCTTGTAGCTTGTCAGTCAAGGAATAGATTGAGAGAGAGAGTAGGACCACTATCGTGTTCTCCATATACTAAAGCATTATCGGCCCTTAGGTGCATCTGATTTTTCATCATGATATTTGGATGTGAATGCAATGGTGAGGGGGTTTTAAGTTGCAACGTATTAGGTTACATCTTTGATAGCTCCTTTACATCACTTCTATTTGATATGCACTTTTCTCTTATTGCTTTGAATAAGCCAATACTTTATTAATCATCAAATTCTGATCTCTTTCTTTGAACATCATGCATAGGCCACTGAGGTTGGAGTTATCTCCAGAAGAGGAAGCAGTTGCTTCAATGAAATTGGACATAATCAGGTGAAATATGGTTTAATCTTCACTAGCCTTTTCTGTTCGTAATTTCTACTTTCTGCTAAAATTTCTATACTTTTTAATGATGTATGCTCTGGTGTTTCCAATTGTCAGAAAAAATGGATTTGTTTTGGAAGAGGATCCACATGCACCACCTGGGCATCATTTTAAATTGAAAGCTGTTCCCTTCAGTAAGAACATAACTTTTGGAGTTGAAGGTAATACAGACTTTTTTTTTTTTTTTCCTCTCTTCTCTTCTCTAGCAAATGGCATGTTACCCAATGAAAAGCTTTCAAGTTGGCTTGCCATGGAGGCGACATGGATTCAAAGCACAAACACACCACTGAAATTTTTAGTTTAATTAATTTATGTCTTTAGAAAAAAGAAAGAGGCAGAGACGCTGAGAAGAGACAATTAAAAAATTGCACAAACATGATCTATAACATGCACATAGTGTGCTGGCACACGCTTGTTTGCAATTACATATATCTATAATTGATGACAGCGGTCATATTCTAGCCTTATTGATTGCATTTACTTCTTGAAAAGTTGTGTTCTTTTTCCAATTAATTTGGAAGCATGATTAGAGACTTGTTTTGGCTGAAAGCAGTCTCATTGTGTCATCTTATCAACTTTTCATATTATTATAAATAGAAAATAATTTTTTATGGCATGCTTAAGGAGTCATGTGTCTGGCCTTGTGAACTTCGTAGGTGTCCTCGACTCCATCTTGCTTTGGCTAACAGTTCTTCTATATGTTTGTTTCAAAATGTGCTGATTGGCATGGCTAGTTAGACTATTATAGGGTTTGCCTACTGTGCTCCAGTCTTTCTTTGAAAATAATTTTCTGCCTCCTCATGCAATACTATAGTGATTTCTATTGGTAAAAATCATTGCATATCAATTTATGCTTCGATCAACATGCCTGAAAAAGTTGATTAGTGGTACTCCTTTGATACAGATGTAAAGGATCTGATTTCTACTCTTGCTGATAGTCAAGGGGAATGCTCCATAATCAGTAGATACAAAATGGACACTGCTGATTCCGTCTGCCCATCAAGAGTTCGTGCAATGCTTGCATCACGTGCATGCAGATCATCAGTTATGGTTGGAGATGCACTAGGGAGGAATGAAATGCAGAAGGTAATAACCATGTATCAGTACTGCCGATGTTGCTTCCAACATGAAACACCATAATATCTATTACAAGCAACTACCTTTTATGCTTGTGCTTAATTGTGTGTGGATGCTTTACAACATCTCTGCCATATTTAACCGAAGACCTTTCAACTTTATTATTTGATGAGCTGTAAAAACCTGCTACGTTTTTCTGTTTCTAATATTTCTAATGGTCGTTTTCTGCAAGATGCCACAATCATTATTTTGAATTTAGGCATAGCAGTAAAGCTTACTAAATTAACTTGACCGTTTTTTTTCATATTTTTTCTTCCTCAGATACTTGAGCATTTAGTCGGCCTGAAGTCTCCCTGGAACTGCCCCCATGGCAGGCCAACCATGCGCCATTTGGTTGACATGTCATCCATTTACAAAAGGCCGGACGAAATTGAAGTGAACTTGTGATGGACTTTCGAGTGGCAGTTACTAACTACTGCCTTTCTTAACTTGGTTTACATGGACTTTGCAAGTCATGTACTGAATCTTATGATGTATTTATTAGGCTGTGGAACCAGGCTTCCCCTATGAGTTGTAAATTAATATTTTTTGTAGTAGGTTCTTATAAAAAAACATGAAGCCGTACTATAAAAGCCTCCTTGTATTGGAGCTCTAGCTCCCTCTGCTCTGCGAGCTGTAAATCCTTTTTCTCGTGGATTTGTCGTGAGGCCCTTGAGCTCCTCGGAGAAAACCAACTTCCTTTTATCTTCTTTCGTTAGCTTGTTTTCTATCGTCATAAAGCGGATCCAAGACGAACTCTGACGAGAAAATGACTAAGAACATGACACTCATCTTCAAGCATGAATATTTTAACAACTCTCTTCCTAGATATGTAGTTAGTACTTAGTAAGTTGTATATTAGCCGTCAAACAATTAAAAAAATAGTCTTGGTCTGGTAATTTACGTTCTGCGTATTAATATACCCGGCGCATGCATGTTGCTAGTTGCAACTGATAAAACAGTGCGACTAAATGCAAGTATTTCAGGAATTTCTGTATAATGATTTTACGAGTTTTCGAAAGTACAAGGTTTCTTCTTTCTTTTTTCTTTTATATATATATATATATATGTTGGCGTTTTGTTGACGTTTGACAATCGGGGGAGACGTACTTTAATTACTTGTCATAAAGATCTTGCAACATCCATATTGATGGTAAACTTAAATCAATTAATTTTAGTACCCATAAAAAAACATAGTCTAATAGTAAGAAAATTATCTTAATTTAATCAAGATCAAATTTTAATTCTTATTAATTATAATTATTTTTTAATAATATCATATTTGAACTTATTTAATCTAAGAAGTAAGTAAATGGTTGATCAAATGTTAAGTGTGTTTTAACGCTAACGTAACTCGGGAAGTGATTGTAAAAGCTAAATGTATTTTGATATTGACTTATCTCAAAAAATAATAAATTCAGTTTCGATTAATGTAAAAATTGATTTAAAAATACTTAACTATATATATATTAATTTTTAATATGACAAGAGATAGAGAGATGGCCTCAATAGTCAATACCCATTTTAACAAGAATTAATCTAATCACGACAACAAAAAGTATAAACTAACTTGATTATCTTTTATATGGAATAAAAGCAAGCTTAATTCCAAACAAATGTTACGAATTAAACTTTAAACTCTTAATAAATGCCAAAAGATGACGATCAATTAGCCAGATAATCACCGAACCATGGCATAGACGCATGATCTAATTTATTTTCATTCTAACCTGCAGATAAAGAAAATGTGCCGTCCCATAATTTACATATCGCAATACGCGCCGTATTTAAGAATACTGATTTGCTTGGAATAAATTGCTAAACATAATAGAGATATCAATAATAATTTATTGTCAACAGTAATAATAATAGTGAAAAACCTGCTCAGCTCGATCTTTCAAAGAGAGAGAGGCGCATAGAGCAGAGAAATCGAAGTTGCTCGTCTTCTCCATTGAAATCGCTTTCTTCGGTAAGTTTAAATTTCTTTCCTTTTCTCTTCTTATCCTCTCTCTCTCTCTCAATAAACGCTGTCAGCTTCTTCGATGAATTCACTTTAGAAACTAGGGTTTTAACAACCCAAAATGGGTTTTAGCTTTTAATATTCTTTAACCCTAATATCCTCGATCCGTACTAAATTCCAAAATTTTCCAGCCTTTTTCATGCTTTGTTTTCGTGTGGTTTTTTTTTTCTTGCAGGTTGCTTGATTTTCTGACTTGGCTAGATCTTTTTTTGTGCCCTAAAAAAACAAACATGGTAACCATATCAACTGTCTTTGATTTGAAAATTGTCTTTCTTTCCCTTGCTTTCTTTGACACTCTTAATTTCTTTTTTGTTTCGTGGTAACTGCAGCTTCCTCTTTCTTTGCTTAAGACAGCTCAAGGCCACCCAATGGTAAGAAAGAGATGCCTGTTTTTCTTTTTTGTGTTATTTGACCTTATGAACTCAGAATTCTGTGCAAACTCGTAGACTTCGTTTTACGGCTTTTCCATTCTTTTTTGTTGCAGCTTGTAATTCATGGTGGTTGTATGTTGTAACAGTTGGTGGAACTGAAAAATGGAGAGACGTACAATGGGCATTTGGTCAATTGTGATACTTGGATGAACATCCATCTCCGCGAAGTCATCTGTACCTCTAAGGTGCTCTGTGTGTGTGTGTTTTCTTTCTTTCTTTCTTTCTTTCTTTTTTTTTTTTTTTTTTTTAGAGATTAACATTAGGTTTTGGTTGGAATTTGATGTAGGATGGAGATAGGTTTTGGCGAATGCCTGAATGCTACATCCGTGGGAATACTATTAAGTATCTTCGAGTTCCTGATGAGGTACCTGTTAACTGTGCCAATTTCTTTTTGCTGTTTTTGAAGAATAACAGTGAAAAGGGGGTGAAATGAAACTAATAATAAAACACACCGAAGTGGTGTCAAATATGGAGCATTAACTGCTTCCCAAGATTTCCATGATATCATTGTCCCTGCATAATACCCTAATTTCAGTATATTTCTGAAATTTGTTACCAGAAGAGATTTTGATAAGAAACTAATGCTTTGAAAAACTGACAAGTCTTTATTGCTATATGGTTCAATATCTTCTTTGTTGTGAATGTTTTGGTGTCTATTTTCCTCAACCGATGCTCTTGATTTGTGTTTTAGGTAATTGATAAAGTTCAAGAAGAAACCAAGAGTCGCTCAGGTATGCTCTACGTTTTTTAAATTATGGTCTGTCATTATACTCCGAACATCAATGAATAAGGAGATATTAATCTTGAAATGTTTGGAAGAAGCATAATATATTCATGAGCTTGGTCAGTTCAGAATAACTATAAGTGTTACTTCTGCATTAAAAATGGATAACCTTTAGCTTGGTGTGCGTGGATACTTGTCGCAGCTAATTTTGTAGTCATTTATACAACTTTATGCCCTGCATTAAGTTCTGTGTTCTTTTGTGCTACAAATTCAGAATAGCCAAAATTTGCAATTTTGTTGGTTAATTGATTGGTTTAATTTCTGCCTTCTGCTCAGCACACTGAGAAATGCAGAACCTCGCTAATTTGATTCATTGACTTTTTTTTCGTTTTAAGATCGGAAGCCACCAGGGGTTGGGCGTGGAAGAGGAAGAGGTAGAGAAGATGGCCCCGGTGGAAGGCCAGCAAAAGGGATTGGGCGTGGCCTTGATGATGGAGGTGCTAAGGGCATGGGTGGAGGTCGTGGTAGAGGTGGTCCAGGCGGAAAGACCGGCGGGAGCAGAGGTAAGACTTAATTAGAGCAACGGAAAAGAAAAAAATGTTCGTAGCTTTCTTAAGTTAAAAGAATGCATAGAGCAAACATAGGTCATCATATTAGTCACCAGTTACGAGTTGCTGTTATTGAAAGCAAAAACAGCATTTTGATTTGACACAACACTTCTTTTTGTCTGGCGTCATGAATGGTTGGAACAGTGGTATTGTTGGTCAGCATATGCATCACATTTTCGAAAGTTTAATTTGAACCAATGACAACATGTCGATTTGCTTTTCGGTGACAGGTGTAGGGCGAGGTCGGGCCTAATGTAGATGATGGTGCCCAGCTACTTAGGGCGAGTGTGCTACTTTTAGAGGCATTTTGCGCCCAACTTTCCATGTGAAATGTTCTCTCTCTTAGCTTATTTCTGTTGAATGGTGGATTACAGAGAAACGGATTTGAAGAGCTTGTATTGTGATTTGCCTTTTCTGAACCTGCCTTAACGTTGTTGGTTTGGTCATTCACCAGCTAAGTCTCTGGTTTATCTTTTTAACTCTCCCTCTGTGTCTACTCTGATTACTTGCCTGCTGGTTGGCGGTTGCTGCAGTTGTCTGTCTCACGTCAAGTACAGATTGCGTGGTGTATGTTTGGTATTGGAATGCTTGTGAACAAAGCTCAAACGGTATTGTGCCATGTGGTGCTAAAGAACTTGTCCAGCGCCATCGTAGGAGTGGCTGTTATGTCACCACATTTCCAAACGAGGGCAATTTGTGACGGTGCCATCCAAATTACTACCTAAAATCCCATACCTAGATGGTGCCCTTTTTTAATTGAGTGCCCAATGTGATCAGTTCAACACAATTTCAAATTAAATCTCAATTGTTTATCAGATTTTCACGCGAGGACTGCAACGACAGGTGTGATTAATGATTTCTCTGATTGGATGTGATTAATGATGTCTCCTAGCCAAAGCCCTTTTTTTTTTATGTGAAAAAAAAAAAAGACAACAGAAAACAAGAAATAGCGAAATATCATAACAAGTTCAAGCAAAATGGATCAAGTAGATGGATTGAGAATGGGTAAGCATTTCACTTTCCGCTGTTTTGTACTGAAATCAAGTAATGATACATATAATTGACAGCATACGCCATGATGTTCTTAAACTACAAAATTGAAGATACAGAGCTCAAAAAAAGAGATAAAAGTAGAAAGAAACTAAAGAAACAAAGGGGATGTAAAAAATTGAGAAGATATGGCATGAATAATACAAAGGCTCCCTAGTAAGGATTATGCCTTCTTTTCTTGCGAGCCTTCTGTGATTTCATGACCAATTCACTTGAAATCCAGGCTCGATTTATCTCGGTAGATTTGTCGGACAACCAGCAACATAATCGACCATCCTCACCACCCGTCCATCCAAATATGCCTTGGCTGTGGGCAAGTCCCCCTTCATGCTTGACATGGGCAATACACTCCTGACAACACCTGTGTGGCCACCTCCAAGAATTGCTTCTGGAGACCCTATTGACCCGACTCCTCTATAATTTACAGGAAAATAACCTAAAGCACCAGCATTAGTGCCACCAATTACCCATAAACTCTCACCTTCTCCCGAGTAGTGGCAATCAACAAAATAATCAACCTGCCAAGATAACCTAGCATTTTAAACCAGGAATATGAATTTTGCAGGTCATTGAGAAAAAACATATTATATGCCCCTTCGTATTGCATCATACTAATTCATAAATTAGAAGTTGGATCTGTTGTGTCTTGTGGTCTATGTATTCAATTCTACATAGCATTGTGTATGAGAAAAAATAGTTGCTATAGATGAAAGCCTGGGGACTCTTGAAACAGCAATCAAAATTCTCACCAGTTTTATTAGTCTACATTATTGTTAATATGAGGATGAGTAACTTAAAGTTGTGTAAAAGGATGAGTAAATTAAACTTTAGTTTACATGACTGTTGTTAATATGGAAGCCTAAGGATTCCCCAAACAGCAACCAGAAATCTCAATACTTTTATCAGTCAGCACAAATGTTGTTGATATCAGGACCAGTAACCCAAACTCGAATATAGTCGATTGCAATGCTAATAAGCAGTGGGTAGGGCAGTTGCTGTTAATACGAGCACTTGGACAATTGGACAATTTCATAAACCATAAGTGAATTTGGCCTCCAAAATTGATGCTTGATGCTTACAACTCAACTGCACTCATGCCATATTTGAGTTTTCTCAACCCTTTTTGTCTTTGAAAATTTTAGACATGGTTGGAAGTTAAGCAAGAAAATGATAATTAAGTTTTCAACCATTCTTGTTTGCTCTTAATAAGTCATCTAAACACAATAGTTTACGATACACCCTCCGTACAGAAAAAGAGAAATTGCATGTTCAGACAAGAAATACTCACAAGGAAAAAACTTACATGGTCTAATGTCCAACTGTCAGAGGCTAATGAGCGGGCCTCCACCAAATTTGCTTCATTTCTTGCATCCTTCCAATCCCAAATGCTGTAGTTTTGGTTTTAGAAAACAAAAGGTAATTACACATCAGAGGTCAGGTGGGAACTCTGCTTTACTAAAAAGATTGTTTTTGAACCTAACATGCATGGTTACAAGAACTTTTTTCTTTTCTTCCCCCTTACCGCGCCCCCCTCTTTTTTTTTTCTTTTTTTTTGTTTCATTAGAAGACTGCTGCCTTCCAATTTTTTTCCCCTTTTACTGACAGAACTAGTAAAACCATCTTCCACTGTGTCATGAAAAGCCAATAGAGATCAACAATACCTTAAACTTTCAATATGTGACAAACACCAGAGCTTCTGATATGTCTCTCCAAAAAACCCCACTTTCCCGATTGAGGTTCCAACATTAATCACCTACAAGAATGTAACAGTTGATCTGAAATAGCTATCAGAATGACTAGAAGCAGTTACGAGAATAGATGAACTTTCATTAAACAAGACATGTTAAACAGCCTTCAAACAGTACAGAAAAAGCATGGTATCCTTGGACAAAAGGATTAATTATATACTAAAGTTTTGGAAGAAAGCATGCAGTACAAAATTAACCATCGGAGAACAGAAAGTATTATCTTTGGAAGAGACAGTAAGAGATAATCCTCTGAAAGAAGTGATCCATGTGATAAGAACTATCATTAAGCAAACTTATCATTAGCAAACTGACCGAATGTGTTGAACAAGTATAGTAAAAAAATGGATAGAGACAGGCCTATTTTACATCATACAATAGCTAACGATTTGTTTATCTTCCCAAGAACCCATACATATAAAATTAGGAATGATTTAAACATTACTGAGAATTACGAGTCTGCACTTACTGATTCCAGATCATCATCATCATTGATATTCCCATCAGTATTAAATATACACATCAACCCATCAACAGAAGCTGAAAGAAGCTTGTTTCGATTGTCAGGGACAAAGTGGACCTATTAAAAATGAGCAAGTTATGAAAAAACAGAACAAAGATAAAAAATTCCGGGAAGGAAATATGAATCCAGTAATAAAATGAACTATGACTCCAGTTCCTCAACAGGAATATTGGCAGCCCAAAATGTATAAACTTGACAAATCTTTACAGATAAGTCAGTTAAAGATTACAGAGTGCTTTCAGCTCAGCTCAACTAGAGAATATAACAACTACCAGAAAAATGCATAGAAGCCATGTCAAACAACACCATGTTACTGCCAAAAAGTTGACGGTATAATCAAGCCTAAGCGTTAGGGATATATTTTGCAAGCATGAAGTAGCCAAGCAGTGATAAACAGCTTCCTGTATGAATGTTTTTTCCTCAGAAATCCTAGCATATGACTATTTTTTTAAGTCTACTTTTATAGCCTTGTTTTTTATAAGGCATTCTATTCTATATCTTGAGTTGTTTGACTAATACAAACCATCTAATTGGGCAGACCAGGCAGTTGAAAGAGCATCAGGGTTTGGGTTAAAAAACCTATATAATAGGTTACAACATGTTAACATAACAATGGGATGCAGTCATGACCACCTTAGCATTAAGCAGAAAACAATGCAACGTATACTGGGTAAAAGCACTAATATTGGTGCACTTATTTATCATTGCAACTCCAACATGTATTTACATATTCTTCAACTTCAACAGTAGACATTGCAACTCCAACATAGGCTTATCATTCTAACGGAACTTCATATTTGAAACCAACTTTCTAATTAAATAGTAAAAAAGTCATGAATAGCAACAATGTTAAAACAAATTGTGCAATTAGAAATGAAACAAACTTCCTGTCAAGTTAAAGAAACAAAGGGAAAAAAAAAACCTGAGTAACGTCTTCAATATGAGATTCCTCCAAACATGCAACTTGCTTTCTGTTCCTCCAATCCCAGAAAAGTATCTAAATTACCAAGAAACCCATAACCAAATCATGAAACAATTCATAAAAAATCCTATTTAATTAGAATTAAACGTACTAATAAATTGAGAAATGAAACTGATAGAACCTGAGACTTAGCCCCAGCAGCAAGAAGATTATCATTAGACCCTCCAAATGAAAAGCTGAAAATCTCTTGGGAAGAGCCAGCACTTATACACGAAACCTGCAGATCATCAACAACCAATTCCTTCACAAAATATCCCATACAAATACATAACGAGGAAAATGAGAAACAAAGAAAAAGAAAAAGGAAAGTACCTGCTGGAAAGTTCTGGTGTCCCAAGCTCTGATAGTACCATCAGATGAGCAAGAATGCAAAAGATGCTGCGACGAAACAGAGAATGAAATTTGATTGATAGTATCAGAGTGACCTCTAAACTCTCCTTGGAACTGACCTGTCGCTGGAGAGTAAAGCTTCACTGCTTTCGTGGATAGTGACACCGCCATTGACGACCAGTCATCCGTTGGGACAATTTGGAAAACGTAGTCGTTGCCGAAATTGGTTTGAATAGAGTTTTTGAGTCCGACTTTGTTTGACTTTGGTTCCTCAATCTCCATCTCCATCTCTGTCGCTTCGTCCATCTTCGCTATGCTGTGCGTCGTCTGCTTATTTGGGAAACCAGAAACCTAGTGTGAGGAAGGATTTTGAGGGTTTTAGGGCCTAATCTTCTGCGGTAAGCGCTCACTGAAACTCACGTATGGAAAGCCCAAAATATGCTGCCATGTCATGCTCTTGTAAGGTTACTTTTTGGTACCAACGTTACAAAAAGTAACACAAAGGGTCCTTATTGTTTTGGTTTTAATACATGAAGTCATGAACTATGGAATGTTTCAATTGGACCCTATGGTCTGCTAATTTGCTTAGTCTTCTCACCACCCGTTTATTTACACTCCTGGCGATGAACAATAGTAGAGAAATGGTAAACACTTCGTAGTTCATGCATTAAAATTAAAAAAATATAAATGATGTCAATCAAAACATCTAATAATTCAAAGGACCTTGAATATTCTAGTGAGAAGTAGCCACATCATAGACAAGTAAAAAACTTAAGTGAAAGAAAATAGATATGAAGGTAACTGACACAAATGTCATTAATTGAAAGTGTCACTATTAACATATTTTACATGGCAGTGAATGGCGACCAGAAAAAACTAAACTAAAACTTGAGAAACCATGCATGACTTGATTGTGGCAAGGAAAAGTCCAGCCGAAGTTAGACTTGGTTGGAATTGCATGTAGTTGTGGGTCTGTGGCCTCAATATTTTGAAAAGGAATCCAGTTTGAATTCGTAAGCCTATGGCAATGGCAGGAATGGACAGCCACTTTTTTTTTTTTTTACATTTAATTTAATGTTCAATTGTTCCGAATTAATCATAGCAAGGGATTAGAGGGCTGAGACCAGAATCAAGACTGCTATTACCATCACAGAAAAACAATATTCTCATCTTAATCGATGGAGTAGTAGAATTTTGTGCACAGTACTTTCTAGATATGCCCTAGAAAAAGAGGTGAAATTTTCGTCTTCCACTTTGACATTTGATCGCAATGATCCTTTTTTGCCTTTTTTTCTTTTTTAAAGCTGTAAAGCAACAGCTGTCACTTTTTATATATCAAACTTATGTCATTGTCAAGTTCAATCTTAAGTAGGTTATGCACGTCAAAAGTAGGTGTTCGTAATAAATGTTGTCTTGTTGTCCGTTATAGAACTCACACACTAACTAGGCAACAACCGAGCTGGCTTTTAAGAGGAATCAGTTCCACCGGCACGACCTCCATTTGATTAGCTCATTTAAAGGACACTGTCTACATCTGATGTGTGGCTCGCAAGGGTAAATGATCCTGGGAGCCGGAGGTTGTGCGGCTACCATCCTCACCGTACGTCATCATTTCAGGATACACGGATTGATCGACGTGGCCAGCTAACCGCCAATAAATGCTACCAACACATACGGAGTAGCTCTGCATCAAGTGTCAATGCCAACATGTTTAAGAAATTGCTTTAAATTCATTGTATATTTTGCAGACGCTGCAAGCAGATGATAGAACGAGATTTTGTTTTCTTTTAATATCCCAACCCTACATGCACGATTACATTAATGAACTAATTATATAAAGTATATATAAATTAATTTGGATTTTTAATTACAATTCCTGCCCGTCACGATCCTCACAATATGGATCGGTGATTCGATCCTCTTACCACTTTGATGTCCATCGTGGAGGATTCAATAAAAGAATAATGCTCCATGTTCTATAACATTTTAAAGCAATAACCATATTACAATTCCATCTACAACTGTGCAGTTTTTTTATTTCGAAATTTTTTCTACTGTTTTTTCTTTTTTTTCCACTATTATTTAACGAGAGGGCCAGGCATTCAATGTAATGATATATTTCAAGACACTGTTGCAGCTTATAAGTAAATACTACTTTCTGTCAAAAAAAGATTATTGTACTTGATTTTCATTCATATATATATATATATATTGAATTATACACTCCATTAGAATTGACCTTGATCAATTAATTGTTTGCTTTGCTGGAACCATTCACACGGCATAACAAAATTGATTGTTTGGCACATTTTAGATCGCCAGATGCCCTAGCTACCCACTTGTTGTACTATTAGCGTAACAATTATCGCTCCTATGAAGTTTTAGGCAAGGTGGAGGGCTAACCTCTATCTGTGTAATCTTAGATTTGTTGCATGTTCCGATTAGAGAATAATAATAATAATAATAAACAGAGAGAAGAAGAAGAAGAAGAAGAAGAAGAAGAAGAAAATGCCACACGACCCAAATCTTTTGATAAACCTGCAACGAATCCATAGCAGAGAGACCCCATCAACTAAATGAACAAAATCGTACTTTAAATCCAACAGGATTCCAGTTAATTAATATAATATATTGTCTTCATCTTTTTGTTTCTGGCTTTGTAATTCTCCAATGAAAAACAGATTGAGAGGGGGCAGCAATCAGCATGACCATAAGCCCCAAAGTTTGAAAATCTTTCAATATCCCTGAATTTTTCGAAGAAGTTGTATGAATTGCATAGACCCATAAAAGTAAAACAAAAAAAAAAAAATGCATTTTCCATCTCCAACTTCATAATGCATCGTCCATCACTATCTATACATACGTCCATATGATAACTGTGTAGTAATGTGAAAAATGACATCCTTGTATGTCGTGGAAAAAAAGGAAAAAGTAGATGTGACTTGGGAGTGGGATGAGTTCTCCACAACTTTCGTTACTTTTGGCTGACAAAACATTGGTGGAACCCGCTTGCGATTTTTGTAATTCGTTCCCCCTTTCTTGCAATGGCTGATCATGACTTCATTAATGAAATTAACGAACTTGCACTTGCTTGTATGTGCATAATTTTTTTCTTTGAAACAAATTATGTCTATCCATACTATATATTTTTAAAAAATTCATGTTGTAATTTACCTAAATTAATTTTGATTAATAAAAAATCAATTAAAAAATATGTTTATTGTTAAAACTCGAAAATATCTAGAATGAAATTGTCTTACGGATTGATGCAATAGACTCTAGCCTTATCAAAAACATGTGCATGGATTCTTTGATGAATTCGGAGATGGACCACAAATATAAAACAACTTTTCAGTTATTCATTTGTTTGTGATGATAATTCAGTGTACGACTCCCAGTTGTTAATGTGGACACTTGACCAAACGAGTGCTGCTGTTTTAATCTTTTATGCCGTCTCCTGCGTACCTAGCTTGCTCGTCACTCAATCCCCTCACACACACATGCACACCTCCATCAAATTAACAAGGAATTGGAAACATCAGTAAAGCAAATGTGTCTTACTCTTTTGTTCTTCTATATGCAAGTACAAAAATACAATCAGATTCTTCAATATATAACGTGGTGAAGTCAATTTTGCTGCACTATGACGCCAGCCATGACGAACTATGTGTGTACATTATTTTCTTAAGATGACTTAAAGCGTGTGATGTTAAAATAGAACAGACAACTCGCGTGTTCAATTTTCTGTAATTTACACAGTAGTCTGTCATAATTGCTCAAACGGCAGTGACTGGATTGCATAAAATGTTGGATTACACTAATCTGTTTTTGCGCTCCGCAGCGAATAAATAAATCATTTTAAATTTTTAAATTTTTTTTATACTTTTCATAAATTTTTTATTTAAAAATGTGATTTTTTTTTGTGCTTTAATTTTTAAATAAAAACTTATAATAATTTATACTGAAATATTAATCAATAATTAAAAAAAACTCAAAAAAATATGTTTTTTATAAGAATATATTCAAAAAAATAAAGTTACAATTAATATATAGATTTATATAAAAATTAAATAATAAAAAAATAAATAATTATTTTTATTTAATGTTAATGAGAAGATTATTTTAAAAAAAATATTTAAATTATTTTATCTTGAAGAAATTTGTTTTATAATGTTAAAAGAAATATTCATAACAAATAGTTGGTGTTATGAGTTGAGATGTGTGGTTAATTTTTACTAAAATCGATTATTCAATAATTATTTTTTTTTACATCTTGATCATACCTAAAAGATTGAGACAAATTATATGAAATATAATTTTAATCTTATATATATATTATTTAAAAATTCAAAGAATTCATAATATATATTACATCAATTTATTTTTAAAAAAATAAAAAAATCATATTTTAAAATTTTATTCTAAAATGCAAATATAGAGAAAAATAAATCATATTTATCGAGTAGATAAAATTTTATATAAAAAAGATTAATTGGATGAGAGATTTCAACGAAATGACAAATTCAAGGAATAAATTTGAAATAATACGAGTATTATAATCGAAATATATATTAATTTTAAAATATAAAAACACGGTATATATATTTTATCTTCGCCATGTTGTGTGAAAAACACAAATAATAACATTCGATGTTCCATGATATTTGCCTAAAAAATCCTTAATTAAAAAAATGTATAAAAGAAAAAAAGAAGAAAAAAAAAACCTAAGGTGCGGGCCTCTCGCATGCGGGGCCTAGGCGAAAAAAAAAAAAACGAGAGACTATTTTGATTTTTCAACGACTCTATAATTTTTTATGAACTCGATTTCGTTGAAAAATCCCTAAAAAGTTAGGTACCTTATTTTTTCAACCTCTCAAAACCAAATTTAGCTCCGTTTATTGTCAAAAAAAAAAACTCAAATTCACATAAATAATGTAAATAAAATTGTTTAGAATCTCAAAATATATTTTAATTCATAAAAAAAACATAAAAATTCAAATCAAAATATTTTTGAATCTCGATCTACCTTCCTATATCATTTTATCGCTTGTCACCACCATAAACAAATTATACTCTTCGAGGCAAACAAAATGATGGCAAGCTTGACTATCGGGATGGTCGAAATAGGCCTCGCCGTCCATCTCTCTCTCTCTCTCTCTCTCTCCTTCCTTCTTTCTCCCTTGTTTCGTTTTCCTCTTAACATGCATGGATCAAAACAAACATAAATGAAATCATGGATCGAAGAAAGCTGATTTAAAAAACAAGGGACTAAAGTTTATATATATATATTGTTGAACGAGTGTCTT